AAAGAATTAAGTTTACTACATAATACTATTATGTAGTTATTTTCGGCTCAAGAATCAAAGAGAATCGGTAACTTTTTGTATTATAATATACCCACAAAAAGCATAAACAATTTTGTGATATTAAATATTACATTTTATGCATAATTTTTTCTATGGGGTCAAATTTCTATATTAGAAGAGATCTCATCACTCCCATTTTGCTAAGTGTTTTACTGAAGCTACATCTTTTCTGAAAGCATAAGGAGAAGACCTGTCCTCAGACAGCCGAACCTGTTATCTTTGTAAGCTAATTATTTGTTGATTGTTTTTATGTTTATATAGTCTATTTTTGGTTGAAGTTACGTTAGTGGTAAATTTAAGCAACTAGTAAAGTCGTAGTATGCTCACAAAGTTGCGAAGGCAGGTTATGAAAATAAAATAAACATTAAGACACTCCACACTCTCACACGCCCAGGTAGTTAAACAGTTGAAGGTTGGTTAAGAAGGTAGTAGAACATGTCAAACAAACACAAGACAGAGGGAGATGTACGTTTCTACATAGATCTAGTAATATATATATATTATATATTATATATTATATATTATATATTATATTTTATATATTATATATTATATATTATATATTACATATTATATATTATATATTATATATTATATATTAATGAGCGAACAAAATATAAAAAAAACATGAAGTGTTCTGTATAGACAGAAATAAAATAATATCAACCTCATATTTATGATTTTGTCCCTCCTTGAGATCAGTCTACAATAGCTTGTAACATGTAATATGACTTTTACGAGTAAGTATGCTTGAATTTTTCAGTTTCACCATTAATTTGTTAAATATTATCGAGCTTCAAAATTTATGTTCATTGGTCAAATGATTGGCTTAGAAGATAGCAATATAGAAAGGCTAAATCTATTTAAAAACGCACGGTCCTCCCTCTCAGCGTAGCAAGTATTTAAGACAGACAAAAATCTAGAGATAAGTGTTTCCGATAAAACATGGTAGAATGAAAATATCACGCTTCAGGAATCAGTACACTAGTTACTTCGATACGATTTTTATGTGATGCAAATCGCCACACCCTATAGTTATGAACTGTAAAGTACTAATGGTCCTAAAACAGAATCTTACGGAATGAGAGAACATCCTTTGTACATATTGAGGATACCTGTTCAGCAGAAAGGCTCCTTAGGATGACATTAATGTTTAGAAAACCAAAGCAGAGAAAAATTCATTTTCATATTCGAAAGGGGGTTAATTTTGCATCAACAGGTCTCAAGACACAAACTTACAGATTTTTATTGGAATTGTGATCATTTTCAATCTAGTAGCGAATGTTCAAGTTGCTAATCAATTGTTTAATTTACCTTACTGTTAAGGATTGTAGTGGAAAAATAACTATTTTTTCTCTCAGATTATTTATTACGTAGTTCTACAAATATTTCAGATATTGAGGTTGATGGATATTGAAATTATATTAATTATACTAGCAACTCGAGTCGATTTCATGAAAGAATCACCTGTTACGTATAGTATGGGTTTTTATTGTCAATATGTCATTAAGGACGAGGGTATTTAAATCATAATAATATATATATACAGTAACAGCCATGTCCATCCATCAATAATTTTAGTACTCTTCTGTACATTCTGTACAAAATACTGAGTCTCCACACACTCAACATCGTTCTTTTTTAAATGTGGAGAGACTTTTCTGAAAGGCAAATCAGCAACGAATACTTCTGCAATCTCGTAAGTATTAGTTTATTCGCCTGTATTATATTGGAATGCGTAATCAGCAGAAAGTTAGATAAAAGTAAGATCAGACGACTTATTTGACAACGGACACTAACACTGATTGATGGACTTTGGGACAAAACTCGAATGGCTATATCTTGTGAAATTATAACGTGATGTCGACGATATTGTTACCATAATGCCAAGTGTATTTTTAACCGTATAACGACTGCTGAAAAGTACTGGTATTCTCATATCTCCCCCGGGTAGTCGATTCAATCTTCTTCACTATTAAAATAACACATTAGATATACTCGTAAGTTGTTACCATTTTATTATAACTCCAATAGTGCAAGTGGTATGCCGTTTGTTGCTTCACAAGATAATACTTAGAATATCTCCTTCGCGGATGTGGATAACGCAGTCGAATAAGTTCGTAAATACACAATCCTGTGATTTACTGTGTTAATACTGAATTTAACGAAAATTTGAAATGAAGGTAAAAAAGTTCTTACAGAATGTATATATATATATCTATATATATATATATAGATATATATATATACCCTTTAGGACAAACCATTTGACACCATTATTTTAACGATTCTTATTCGTAACTCTGGTCCTGTTCTCATTCCCCCTTGCTCTCATTTTTTCTACTTTTTATTTGGCAGCACTTTCTGAATTACTAGACTTACTACCTAATAAATCCAATTCCACTTTGCGCTATGAATTACACAGCATTGTTACACTTGGATATTTGTAGCTTTGATTAGATGCCCCTAGACCTGTATTTTCCCAATCGTTTTTTTCATCAAAAAATTATATTAAATATGTAAAGGAAACTAACATTTGGAAAAGTCGCAACAAAGCATACCTCTTTCATTATTTTTTATTGATCTTACTCCTCGCTTATTTACTTGTGTAATATAAATTTCCTGTTCTTTTGTACATACAGTGTTAATTTTAGGTAATGGTTAGGCTATTTTAATGGTCCTGGGATTAAATAGTGAGCCCTGTAGATAAGAACTGCCTGGAGGCATGCCTTATAAATTTTAAAATTTGTTGAAAAATGATCCCTTGGTCATACCTATACTAATTGTATGTGCAAATGCAAATTATTTTTCAGTAAAATTACAAAGATGTTTATATGTATTTTACAAGATGTTACTGTTGAATATTTGCTACATTGTATTTTATTTATGTAAAAATAAAATAAGAACAAAAATGCGAATAAATGAATGGCCTCAATGTTTTGACAAATATTGTGAATTTTATAATTAAATAGACCATGTGCTTCTCCTCCAAATACACATGTTGTGACTATAAATATAGATGAAATCGTTTAAAAAAGTGTTCTTTAAAATAGGTGCCCGTAAAGTACTCGTAAGAAAATGTATTTGATATTGTGAGCATTAAATGATGTAACATTGCTTATGTGTTTCTTTTCCGCATAGTCAAGGCGCAAACCTGGCATTCGTCGGAAAAATTTTCTTACTTGATTTCCTTCATAATCAGGCATTTGTTTAAACAGATTAGAAAGTTCTTTTTCCTGACCCTATTTAAGATGGGATTTCAGAATAAATTGCATGCTGCAATTGCCACTTTTTCTCATCTACAAGAGATGGTGTAGTCATATTTTCAAAGTTTCTTTTTTCCACTTTGATCACAAACTTTATTTTTTTTATATGGACACTATACTGGATATTTTGTTCACTTAAATGGTCCTCTCAGTCTGAATTCAGTGATGTATTTCCTTCGTTAGCGTTGAATTTGTTGCTGGAATGAAAATTATAAGCAAATATGGCGGGACCTGAAGACAAAATTAAAATTTTATTGACGGTAATAACTAATAATCATAAGCAAGCAAGAAGTAAATCATAGCAATGTTCAAAATCTTGTGCGTTATTTTGTAAGCAAAGCCTGACTTTTCTCTTTTCTTCACTGCTCATCTTATTTTCATTTTTCTCAGTCTTACATCTTCTGTTAGTAACTCTGTTACTATGTTCAATTTGAGGACTAGTCTGGTATACAGAACAAATGAATCGGATAATTTCAAAGCCTACCTAGGAAATTTTGTTTTTCTGAAATAACTAAGATTTGGCAATGTCAATGTATGACATACTATACATTTTTGGAATTGGAATTAAAAACTCTATTCACCTCTGTAAAAATCAAATATGGCGTCCATAAGAAAAAATAAAGTTGATGCTGGAGGACAAGAGACGAAACGTCAATTCGAAATTCTAATTATATCATCTTAAAAAGGAAAAAAAGTGGCAATGCTAATGGGAAATTTATTTTGGAATCCCACTACAAATAAAGTCTGTAAAAATTCAAACTATTTTAGGAGAATTCAGTTTTGTTGTCTGTAATGAAGGACTTTGCATTTCTAAACTGGTATTTTGTTAGATACGTAAATACGGTACTTTACCCATATTTAAGTGGCTTAGTATCTCTTACCGTTTCCGAGATCCCAATGGTGAGGGTCGAATTTGAAACACCCGATATAAGTTCAATTAAAAAAAATATTTTTTATTTTTAAAACAAAACGGTGAAAACACTGCCGGCCATGATGTGACGTCATACAAATTGTTAACAAAGAGATGTTATTCGTGTATCACTAGTGGAATTGAAAATTGAAAAAACAATCATCGACGTTGGATTTGTAGAAGCAGAAAGCACTATTTTTTTCCTTCAACTGAGATGTTAGTTCTTCTGAGCTGAGGAACATCAAGACTTCGATGTAAGTACAGTGCATCTGATATTTTGGTAGACATAAAAAGAAAGCATACAAAAACATACAAAGCATTCAAAACTAAGCTAATACGTCATAAAATTTGAATAATTTTATCTAATTTTTTTCTTCTTACACAGCTGCAACAGACGGTGATGATGTCGTAGGTTACGTCATCGGTCTCGATCTAATGAAACAAGACTATAAAATTTGCACAGTAAAATGTAGAACGTGTCCTGAACTTAAGGTATGCTGCAAGCAATACACAGTGTTGAGTATATTTATCTCCCTGCACATTCTAATCCACAGGTTTCTGGGTCTTTACCGATGTGTTTTTACATTGTCATGTTTATATGTATGCTAAAAAGTTTTAGATTACGCTGCAGTTTACAAATGGTATGACGACAGAGCACATTAACATGGATCAAACATGGCGGGCGGCGTTTTTGATTGTCTAAGAAAAATATATTTTTGAATTAAAGTTTTATAATCTTTCAGATCTATAGTATAAATTTTTTGATCTAATAGAGCAAATATTAACTATTTGAGACATACTTACACATTCTCCCCGCGTCCCAAGGAACTGGAATGGATGTTCCTCAAATCATCCATTACACCTTTTCATTTCAAAATTTCAGTTCTACACATTTATTCACCATATGAGTACAAATCTGTGGTACAAATACTAGACATGTTTTAAATTGACTGAAGCACAATCCAATTCATACGCTGAATAATAATCATAATATTATTTACATTCTTCATGATAAGGCTCCAAAGTCCGTAAATCTCTCCATGTGGCTGGTAAGTTGTTGTGAATATGGTTGCCACATCTTTTGCAAGGAGCGCTGAATAGCGTATTATAGCTATGAAACCAATGCTAAAAAATTGAGTGGTCGTGAGGAACACAGAATGACGGACCTCAAAGACTACTACTACAGGGTAGGTATCATATGTCGAAGGAGATGCAATATTGTAAGAATGAAAGTATGGATATCAGATTCAAAATTGACACTATTATCAAATTGGCACTTAGTCTATATGTCTTTCCACTTCTTTTGCAGTCATATTGCAATGTCATACGAAATAAGTGAGCTTATTTACAAAAATTAAACTTAAATTGACCGCCCATAAACAGTCATACTGAATGTGTATGATTGAGGGAGATCAAAAGATGGAAGTAATACTGGTAGTTTTTTTGTGATCCTCCAAAATACGTGAAAAGGCCTATTCGAAAGCCCCCCCCCCCCTTACTTATTTCTTGAATGGATCAAGTTTATTATTTATTATATACTAAGTGACATATAAATCCGAACACCCAGTTTAAATGGTTTTATTTTAATAAAAGTTGGTGAATGTATTTATCTTACTGTAAACAACAAGTGAAAAAATTTTCAGCCTATCAGTTGGACATTCCGGTTTTTATACTGCTTTTTTTTAATTCACTAACGCTCTAAAAATGAATATTTCAGCCGCAGTAAAGAATCAACGTTGGCGGATTTTGGCTCTTGACATCCTTTACGATCGGTTACGATGCCTAGAGTACGGAGACCTGTACGATTTCGTCAACTTAGTGAGTTTGATAGGGGCCGTATAGTGGGACTTCGGGAAGCTGGACTTTCTTTTCGGGCAATTGCAGTTAGAGTGCAAAGAAGTGTAGACACTGTGGTTAGGTGTTGTCAGGCATGGCTTCGAGAAGGCCGTACGCAAAGAGCAAGGGGCACTGGACGCCGCCGTAGAACAACAGACCGTGAAGATCGCCGCCTAAGATTATCGGCCTTAAGGGACCGTTTCTCCACTACTAGGTCCATTGCAAATGAATGGTTTGCAGAACACGGAAGACCTTTTTTCATGCGAAGTGTTTACCGACGAATGAGAAGATTTGGCTTGTTTTCATACCGGCCACACTGGGTCCTCCCTTTAACTCGAGAACACCGACGTAATCGCCTTCAGTGGTGCAGACAACGGTCACTCTGGGATCAGGAATGGAACAGTATTGTCTTTAGTGACGAGTCTCGATTTTGTTTAGGCATGCACGATGGTCGTGCCAGGGTTAGAAGGCGACGTGGTGAAAGGAGGAATCCACAGTTTTTTGTTGAAAGACATGTTCATCACACTGTTGGAGTTATGGTTTGGGGTGCTATAGCTTATGGTTCCAGGTCACCTTTAATCTTCATCAGAGGTAACATGAACGCGCAGCGTTATATCCACGAAGTTCTAGAACCCCATCTTTTACCCTATCTTGACACCCTGGCAGATCCAACTTTCCAACAAGATAATGCCCGACCACATGTTGCAAGAGTCACATTAGACTTCTTTCAACATAATGATGTCACATTGTTACCGTGGCCACCAAGATCTCCCGACCTATCCCCAATTGAGCACGTGTGGGATATGATTGGTAGGAGATTGCTCAATTTTCAACGCCCTCCTCAGACTCTAGAAGCACTTCGAAAGGAGTTGGTGGTTGCCTGGAATGAGATACCACAGGAGGACATTGACCACCTGATCAGAAGCATGCCTAGGCGCGTTGGAGAATGCGTAGCACATCAGGGCGCATCCACACATTATTAAAGGTCAAAAGGGCTTTAAAGCAGTGCAATCATTTTGAAATTTTTATCATTTACTTATTATGCTTCATCAAGTACTTATACAAAATTTTATTAAAATAAAACCATTTAAACTGGGTGTTCGGATTTATATGTCACTTAGTATATAATATTATTTTAGAAATAACATTTTACGACTTTCAAGATGGCTGATGGGCGCCAATTTGTTACATTTTTTTAAATGAAACGAGATATTGTGTAACACCTTATTTTGAAGTTCCTCGTGAGTGCTCTATAACCCAAACATATAAAATCCGTATCTTGCCAAATGACAGGCTGTCAAATTTAAGCAGCTTTGTACATTGCCTTGCTTATTACAACTAATCATCAAAACAGTATAGTATGTTATATCAATCCACATCTCTTGGAAGGGTATATCTGAATGTACAATAAAATAGGTCATAGGATAGATCCTTCCAACAGATCATTGTTAATACAGCACAGTATAGCAGTTGGATGATTTGATGTTGAGTTACAGTCGACCCAATACACATCTTTGACAGCATGCCAGTTTGAGATTTTCAAAGATGTGCTTTTATATTCTAAGATTACCAAGTACTCATAAGAACTTCAAAATGAGGTAACACACCAACCCCACTGCTTGTATTAGCACACTTAATCCATCCACAAAATAAGTAGGAGGGACCTTTTCGAAAGCACTATATGGATTTAGATTTGGCAAAATATACATGTAAATATTAATAGGATATATTTACCATAAATGACCTCACAGCCAGATCAGGCATCATTGGAGAATGGAAATGGCACATTGCAGCATGACAGTTCTCTGTTACCTTCTGAAAAACTTTGTACCTTGAGTCACTCCACTGGTCACTGGCTTCTGCATGTGCCTTTACAACTACCCATTCAATCATCAACCCCTTAAAACCAATTATTGATTTCAACACCCTACCTAGAGATGCCTGAAAATGATCTTTGTGAGTTTGTAATTGCTGCTACTTTAGATACTCAGTAGTTACCTGTACAACAGGGTTCGGAACAAATGGCCTGTTAGTTGTTATTGTTACATCAGGGAAGAGTCTATCAATTCCTGTTATTAAGTTCTCTATGACCCTACAAATCAAGCCCACCATTAAACAATCAAAAAGAAGGAACAAAGTTTGAACAATGTAGTTAGTGGAGAGAGAGAGAGAGAGGTTGATATACCACTGACATAATCGAAACAAGATGATTTACCAATTGCCTTGGGTGCTTTTCTTAAACTCATAAGCACAGGTGCACTAATCATTTGTATTCTAAAGAATGATCAGGACTACTGTCAGAGTTTTGATTTCCATTCTATTGCACAAAACTGCATATGGGTGAATAACAGTTATTGGGGAATTCAATGTTCCTGCAAAAAAATCTTAATCCAATGGACAAATTGTGGAAATAGACCATTCAAATAGTGGAAGATGTCAATCTTTATTTGGAACAGATGGCGCAATTGAGGTAACCATTAAGATTTAGGAAAAATCTGATTGAAAGTTAACAAAATGTATACTCCCCTGGCATGTTCCATTCCCAAATTGCACTACAAACATCAACAAATCTCTGTATTATGTACTGGTATAACAATAAGCGGATACTCTTTGTATTACCTAATACATCTGATAACATATTTTCGCAAAAAGGCACACTAAAAATATACATAAATGCGTAAAAAATCCCGTTTATTAGTGGTTCCTGAGAACAGTGTCACCCTCACCTGGCGCAATTCAAATTGTACATATTCATCAAAATATGGCAACTATGCGACTTTACTTGAGCAGCAAGTAGCAAATGAAGAAGGGATAGTGCGAAACTATCGTAATTTGGACAACGAAGACCAGGGACGCGTCAGTAGCCCACTAACAGTCGTCCGATACCCTTTTGCCAGTGAGTGAAGCATTTCCCCTGGTAAGCATATCTTTGTGAATTTAAAAGTTACATTTTTGCGACTTTATAAAAAATTAAGATTTTTGAATACAAAAGCCAGGAATCACGTTAAAATAATATAATAATCAACATATCTTGCTTTTTTGGGGCTTACGCACGTTTTTGTCACTTCCCTGGCGTCACTCCCCTGGCATTTTTTATGTCAGGGGAAATACACACTGCCCAGGGGAAATACACACTGCCCAGGGGAAATACAAAGGCACCTTTTTGTATAAGATGTGTAGCTACGGTACCAAATTCAACTTCAAGAGGCAGTAGATCTGAAATAAGTCAGGCATGAGGGGCCGGGCCAGACAGGGCCAGACGCCTAGCGCCGTATTCAGTGCTCAAACGCTCATTGTCAGTGTTCATACCAATCTGTTACATCAATCAGCGGGCTGCACCTAAGAAGTTGCCTGGCCCAGTTTAGGGCTCTGAGCGGCCTGCTTCCTGCTCTTGAAGTTGAATGTGGTATAGACACTATTTCATTAATTTCAGGTACCAAAAAAACCATAACTCGCTACAATGGCAAAATTATAAAAAAGCAAACCCGAGAGGAAAGATTAGAGAAAAAACGCCAAGCAGAAAGGCCACGAGACCAGCGAATTAAAAATGATCCAATCAAGAATGCTGAGTTAAAAGAAAAAGAAAAAGAGAAGTATCACAGAAAGAAGGAGAAAGTACAAGTTAGAAGTATAAAAGATCTGACAGATAGGGAACAGCGAGCTATGAGAAAAATATGGAGAGAGCAAACTGAAAGATATAGGGATCGTGTGAGGCAAAAAACTATTGTTAATTATTCAGAGTCACCGCCGCCTTCGAACCATGAAGATCCACACTTCGATCCTTAAATATTGGACAATAGAGCTTCAGGTGCCAATAGACCCTCAGAAAAACAGAGGAAACGGATAAATGAGCTTATCAAAAAACAAAAAACGAAACTGATCGATTAAAAAACAAGGTGAAGAGATTTCAAAGGAAACTAGATCACGTAAGAAGTCTAAAAATGTCACCAAAGTCGAAAGTGGACCGATTACTAAAAAAAAAACGAAACCAAGAAACCAAGTAATCAGGAGAACGTGGAAGAAGCATCTGACATTCAGTAAGGTAGTTCAAAATCAACTAAAAGAAAATATAAAGCAAACCAAAAAGAAAAATGAGAAGACACGTGAAGTATTGAGTGGTAGGTTTGTTAGAAAGTACAATGTTTTAAGTCAAATTGATATAAAGCCTGTGAAACGATAACCCCCTGTGGGAGAGGTTTGATAGACGTGACAAGGAGAACAAGAATGAATGAAACTAGAGAGAAGATAAAGAACGTAATTAAAAATTTTTTTGAAGGAGACTGCAACAGTCGCTTATGCGCAGGAAAAAATGACTACGTTATGAAAAACAAAGTAAAAAACAAAAGAGGGTTTTACTAGACTCAATGAAGCATTTACACGAACGGTTCGTTAAAAACAAAGGAGTGCCGATAAGCTATACTTCATTTTGACGTTTGAGACCTTTTTGGATTGTATATCCAAACATTCATAGAAGAGAAACATGCTTGTGTGTAATTCATGCAAATATGGAGTTGATTTTGCTCTCTTTAAGAAGAACGAAAATTATAGGCTTTATGAGTTTTCAAGCAATGCTAAATTACTTATGTTTCTATCACATGACATTTCCGACATAAATTTGGAAAAGTATTAGAAAGACTGCTGGTGCCAAATATAGTAATGAGAGGAAGTAGATTATTTTATAAATTCAGAACTCCTATACCTGTATTCTAAAAATGAGTATCTACTCGAATTCATAAAAAATCAGGTTATACCTATGTTAATTTTATTTTTATGCTAGCTACCATTTTTTATTTATAAGCACTGATTGCGATTCAAAGACTGACCATAAGTATTATGTCAATTTTTTGTTTTAAGTTTTTATAATTTTATTTCTATTATTATTATTATTACTCAGGTACCTACATTGCTATCTATATTAAGTTGCAAGATATAAACAGCTATAGTGGTTTTTATTTATATTAGTTCTTGTGTGAGCAGGGTTCACTCAGTTGATCCAAATGTTATTTTTTAAGAGACTAATAGAACATGTAGGATTTTGTTATTTTCAATAACGTATTTATTCTTTTATAAAGTGTCTTTTAAGATCATTCACATGAGAAGTTGTCACTCTTCTGTCTCAGTTTGTCACTACCCTGTGTATAGTGTCACTCCCCTGACTACACATTTTCCCCTGGTAGCTGTAAAATCTCTAAAAATCAAAAAACTATCTGGTCCTGTCAAAGATGCATCACAAATAGTATAATCTTAAGAGGTAATGAATATGAAACTGAAATGAGTAATTTTTCTTAGGTACCACTAAAAACCCAAATACCTGATATTCACCCATATATGTTTAATAAGTAGCCAGAAAATCAACATAAAAATTAAAGGATAAGTTTCAGGAGTTACATTATTGATCTAAAAGGTTTAATTTTTTGTAGTTTCGTCAATATGTTTTGATTTTGGCAATTCTAAGTTCTGATTTCATGATCTACTTTTTGTGCTTAATGTCTAGTGATGTCAAATATCGTTACATTTTGGTAACAACAGTTACTGATTACTTTGATTAAAAGTAACTGGTACTGATTACTGGCATCACAAATGGCAATCATGTATGCTTGTAAACTTGCTAGACAGTTCACTGATTTGTGCATTAAAATGCATGCTATGTGGCTCTTGATTTGCCACAGTACATAACATAATGAATAATTAAGTGATTTCTTTTAACAAGAGAGATATGAATTAAAATTTAAACTGCACTCAACTTGTGCAATCTACTAATTATAACATGAGAAATAACATATGTATATTAAGGAAGCAACAAATATGATCTTTATTTCTGATGATGTCAGTTTGTCAACTGCAGTCTCCAAACATCTATAATCCAGACATTACAATGGAATGAGCAAGGAAAGAAGGAATATCTATGATAGAAAACTTACTCTGGAGAAACATTATGATTGCTGGTCTGAGTTTTCCTTCTTTTAGTTGTACTTAATGTTTTATATGTCTTATTGAATGAATTTGTTTGTAAGATATTTCCAGCTAGAGCACTATACTCTCGAATCTAAAATTCATAAGCAATAAATCATCTACCACCTGTTCCATATTGAGCCATATTACCTTATCAGTCCATTTATAACTATTTACAAGTTGACCATATAGAGCCTGCCTTTCTTGGGTTGTTTCCTGAGCCAAATATGTTGTATTACCTAAACTAAATGCCCCAGGCGGAGGCGTAAGACTTGCCACAGCATTCTCAACATCTCTAAAAATGAATACACAAGTTAGAGAAACTTAAATCGTCACATTTAACATTTAAAGTATTTCCTCATAGCAAATCTAGTACTTGCCTCAGATTGTTGTTTACGGTTGTAAGAAGCTCCTGTAGTTCGATAATGTACTTGTTTTCCTTTCCGTCATCACCGTGATCCGCTCGCAATCCGTTCCCAACAGATTCAAAAACACTCCTAACATTTGATCTCAAAACTTTTACAGAATTTAGGGCTACATTTAGCTGTGCCAGATCTCTCTCCATGTTTTCTTTACCAAATCAAAAGTTGGGTTATGTGTCACTTGACGCTGGTTGACGTTTCGCAGTTTCTACTAGGGATGGGTAACCTTTCATAATATTAATGGGAGAAATTTTTTTTTAATGATGAAACCATGGCTTTGCAGCTATGATAACTTTCAATTCTCTAAACTTCCGCATGTCAAAGAAAACATTTATTTATTTAGCAGAAATGATAGGAAAAAGCGATGAAAAAAGATATTAGCAAAACCCATCGACTTTAAAACTCGTTTTAAAGTCGATGGTAAAACCGCATACAAGTGGACATCGTCCAGTGAGTTTATATAGCCATATTTTAATATTCTTGTGATTTACGACAGGATACTTTAAGCATAGGAACTAGATTTCAAGTGTCCCCATTACAACAGTAATGATTATAACTAATGAGGTGCTCTACTTTATGCTAAAACTGAAGTTTCCCAAAAATATATATACAGGGTGACTTCGAAGTTGAGTCATTTATTTTAACAGTGAGTAGATCTGATCAAAAGAAATGTTTTTTCCTTTACCATTTTTCTGGTAAAATTAAAGTAACAAAGTTATAGCCCTTTGGAAGTTTGAGTACCGCCCTGTCTCAATAATAATATTATGTGCTCGTGTTTGGCAACAACGGATATAATCCGCCTTATCGGTTCATCGCATCGGAAACAAAAAAGCGAAAGAATTTGGAACGATGTTTTTACAATTATTTTATTCAGTTGTATTCAGTCAGTGTCAGTCGGTAACGCGTGAGTGAATAGTGGTGTCTGTTGCGTGGCTCAAACGAAATCAAAAATGGCACATGTTTACGAAAATACTGAACTTGTGGACATGATTCTTATTTACGCGGCATCACGGATTTATGCGGATCGGTTTCCCAATCGAGTGCAACCAACCCCTCGTGCCTTTGTTAATGTAGTACAAAGGGCTCGTGAATCAGGTGACTTAAGACCTCACAGGGGAGGGCATGCCGGTGCTCCAAGACCGCACGATCAAATACAGGTCCGCACTGAAATACTTGTCGGGAGGATACTTTATAAAACAAGGTAACATTTTTTTTTTATTTTTACACACATTTTGGTTTATCTTCCTTCTACAATCATTATCTGAAAATTAATGACTCAACTTCAAAGTCACCCTGTATATAATATATATATATATATATATATAAATATGATAAAAATAAGTGGTCCTAGCGATGATCCCTGTGGAACACCTGAAGTTGGAGTAAACTTTTAAGATTTGGATCTCTTGAATTCCACAAACAGCTTACGGTTGGACAGATAGGATTTCAAAAGGCATAATAAATCATCTGAAAAGCCCATTCTATTAAGTTTTGCCAGCGCCACCTTCAACTAAGGTTAGTTGAAGGTGGCGCTGGTTTTGCTAGTAGCAGATGAAGGTCCAACCTATCAAATGCTTTACTAACATCTGTATACATGACATCGGTTTGCACTCCAGCGTCCAGGGATTCAGAAATGAATTGTGAAAAACAAATTAGGTTAGTCGTTGAAGGACCTCCCGTTCCATAAAACCGTGCTGACAAGGAGATATACTCTTACTGACACTAACATATATAAAATTGTGCAATAAGTACTCCAAAGCTTTGGAGAAGTTACATACCAAAGTAATTGGTCTATGGTTTTCTATAGCAGTTGTCACCTTTTTAAAAATTGGACATATTCTTGCTTGTCGCCAAACGTCGGGATATCTTTTAGTTTTCAGAATATTGTATATTTTTGTTAATGAGCATGCAAGGACAGACGCACAGTCTCTCAGCAAAAAAGACGGGATACAATCTGGAACACTGGTCAATTTATTTTTCATTCTTTTCAACGCCTTATATACTTCAGTTTCGTTAAAATTAATTAGGGAAAAATTAGTATAGGATGAAGGTAAATTACTTGACGGAGGCAAATGATTCTTTGAAAATACTGATTGAAAAAAGTTGGCAAACGCGGTTGCTATCTCATCAGGTGTGCTGTGGGTAGTGCCATTGTAGTTCATTTCGTTAACTGGATGGTTGTGACCTTTTTTATTACGTATATGCGACCAGAAACTATTAGGAGAATATATATAGAATATTTCCTGCGCCTTAATTTAGTTTTTGGGACACACATTTCGAATATGCAATTTAGTGTACGCAATATCAGAGTCTTGTATATCATCCAGAAAAGACGAATTTACCAGATTGCTCATACAGCAGAAGAAAATTAGCTTTTCGGAAATTAAAATGTTCTATCGGTTTTACTGTGTTCTGTTTGAGATTCCGAATACTTTTTTCTAAGGTGATACAAAGGAGGGTGATAAACATCCTCTGGAAGTAAATCTTCGTATGCCTTTTCAACCGTACAGCATCTCTTAGAAAACACCAGATCCAGCACTCTACCATTAATATATGGGCAACAATGTCAGAATAATATTAAAGCCACTTACTTGGTGACGAAACGGCAACGAGTTATCCTCCTTTGGCAAGCAATAAGGGCGATATGATCGGATTGTTGGGGCCAATATCTATTTTTAGAAAAATGACTTGAGTACCTCTCATATTCAACCGACTCATTACATGCGCTACCTTAGGATTACATTAATTATCCACAGTGGTATCATTTTTATTATGATTTATCATATACTGGTCCGCAGACCCTGAGAGCGGGGGCACACAGCTCCCTGGGACACACAGTCCCTCATGGACACACAGTTCTCCACTTAGGCAATTTTAAGCACAAAGCAGCCTATGGAATCAACAGTTTTAAGCACACAGCAACCTATGTTGTTACCCAGGTGTATAGACAGATATGTGAGTTTAAAGATTATTACGAAAAGCAGACCAGGATCCAGGATATCACGTTGACCAAAGGCCGTTGTGTCAATATCCAAAGGCTCCGACACTACCTCTTAATCAGAGATAATCGAGCAAGATGAGAATCTTTAGAAGAACAATTACTACGCACATCCTGCCATGAGATACATTCAGACGCCAGCGATTACCAAGAGAAGATGGTGTAGCGGTCATTCGGACCTAGGATGCCAGGTCGGCCAAAGGCCATCGTGTCAACATCCCAAGCGCTCCTACGTTTCCCCTGCTAGAGTAAATCGAGCATAACCACCTAAAACCAGCAATCGGGTTCCGAAAGTTCCATAACAACCCCCACAGACTGGAGGCGCCACCCCTAGATGAGCCAGCTAATTTCCCTATCCTTATCCACAATCACTGAGTCCGTAAGCCATTGATAGAAATATGGATATATGATCCAAGCATCTTTATAAATATAGATATATGCTCAACGCGTCTTTATAAATGTGGATAAAATGATCAAAGCCTCTTTATAAATATGGATACATGATCAAAGCACCTTTATAAATATGATTATATTATGTACAAAGCATCTTTATAAATAGGGCTATACGATCAAAGCTTCTTTAGAAATATGACTTACGACATTTATTATCATGAATATAAAAGTATTACAGTTATAAGTCGATGCAATACAGCAGAATAAAGGAAATACTCAGTGATTGCTCACCTTTCAGGTAACCAAAACACTACACCCAATAGCACATCAACACTGTAATTAGGTCCACAATGCGCACTACTTGGTCTGAGAAGCGATGACTTCCACGCACTATTTGAACTGTGATGCGAGCCACGCCTGCGTTTTTAAGAAACTTTATCCTGGAAACAAGTACCTAGAGAAAGAATAGAATGTATGACGTAATCAGGCTTAAGGTCCGTCGTGCCGAGTGACACTAACCAGACTTGTGAACCTTCTGAAAAGATTTCGTGTGCTACAGGGTTAATTTAAACAAAAAAAGAAAAAGAAGAATCTCACCATCTTTTCGTTTTATTTATAAAAAAGGCGTGGCAAGGAAAGAGAGAGTACGCGAATTGCGTATGTTCCAATGAAGAGTAGGATACTCCTAATCACCTACTCCAATGTGGAAGGTGGCTTGTCTACCAGACACAGCTGGAACAGACGCTCGGCAAGAGGACTGCTGATAATTTTGCCACGTATACACGCGCGGAACATGGGTCGATATACAACTAATAGTAGACTATGATACTGGGTAAGGTACGGGAGGACAAAAATAGACTTACAAACCAATAGTAGGTTTCTAATCTGCTCGGTTGTACATGTACATAGGTATAAAAGTATATAGAGGATAGACGACTAGTACATTCTGCTTCAAAACCTAGCGCAACGCTACCCACTATGATGAGATGCTGCAAGCATTATCGTGGTGTGATGTGTGGCGAACGACTGAGGGGTTTTAGTGAGTATGCCATTTCTGGAGAATCTCACACTTTGTGCAGGAATGGCCGGCAGAGCAATACTGACAAGTTTGTCTGCCTGAATTCTATGAAAAGCTTGAACAATGCATTGAGGCATGTTATCGGTCTGTAATACTTGGAACCTGACATATCTCCGGTCCTCGGGAGTAGCACGGTCCCTTGATAAACCAAGGCAAAATTGGCTGCTTCTGATTTAGCCACGAGTTAAAAATTGTAGCTAAGTGCCGGTGGCAATTTTTAAATTTCTTTCGCCAATTAAAAATGTTCTACAATTACTCCTGTTCCAAAAGTGCAAAATTCTGAGTTATATACAAACATGCGGACAATTAATGTACTGTCAGATGTCGAGGAGCTCTTAGAAGAAATCATATATGAACAAGTCATTGAATATATTGAAGAAAATAAGATATTAACAAAATTTCAAGCAGGATTCAGAAAAAAGTATTCTAATGAAACAGCAATTCAAATGGTAGTAGAAGAATGGAGGCGAAATATGGATGAAAAAAAGTTTATACTAACATAGTTCTTAGATTTCAAGAGCGAGCATTTGAGACTATTGACAGGGAGAAATTGTTAACGAAAGTGCATTGCTATGGATTTCAAGGTTCAGTATTCAGCTTATTACAAAATTATTTAATCAAACATTAAAAACATTCGGCAGGTGTGCCACAGGGTGGCAAATTAGGTCCATTACTATTTATTTTATATATTAACGATATTCCTGATATTTTACAACACTGCAAAATTTAACTATTTGCTGATGATACATTAATATATATATATATATATATATATATATATCAAATAAAGACATTAAAACTGCAATAGAGCTGTTAAATAATGATATGAAAAATGTAATGAATTGGTTAAATGTAAATAAACTGAAAACACAAACAAACAAAATATATGCTAATAGGAAAATCTTTAGATCAAAATACAATAAATCTTACAATTAATCATGAAAAAATCTAATCATTTAAATATTTGGGCATATACGTAGATAGTGAATTAAAATTTGAGGGGCACCATGAATACATTATTTAAAAAATATCCAAGAAAATAAATTACTTTTACAGAATTTCGCATAGCCTAAGCGTTTATTCTAAGAAAATTGTGTACAACACTATCATTCTTCCTCATTTGTTATTTGTTCGACTATTTTTTTCACTGCAAATGAAACTGTATTTTCAAAATTACAAATATTACAAAATAAAGAGAATCATCTTAAATAAAAATAAATATACTAGAATAAATTTTATGTTGAAAGAACTAAAATGGTTAAATATCAAAAATTTCATAGCCTACTTGGTTTTCATTTTCATATTCAAGTTAAAAAATCATCTACCAAATCATTTAGAAAATTTTATTGTATTGAACAATGAGTGCCACAATTATTCTACTAGAGGGAGTATAGACTTTCATTTATAAAACTGCAGTAGCAATATAACGAGCAAGTCGGCATTTCAAAATGGATTGTACGAATTTAATAAATTAAGTAATGATATCAAGATGTGTCAGTTTGAAAATGTTAAAGGGAAATTGAAAATATATCTCATGGAAAACCAGAATTCATAGTAATGAAATTTTGTATAAAAATATGTAGTCTTGAAGACATAATAAATTTTGTGATATACTGTATAATATGGATATTATGGACATTGTAGCATTAATGCTAAATAAGTCTGAAACAAACAGTAGGTACCATCAGGGCCAGGAGTTACGAAATTCTTAGCACCTACTAAGGCACTACGTACTTCTTCCGTGGTTATCAGTAAACGCAGTGCATCTGCGAGGGGAGTTCTTTGATAAACGTGCCCAAACTGCATCAAGGCCGGAGTGTAACTGCCTGGTCGTTCATAAACGTCTTTCCGGAAGCTCTCCATGCGATCACCAGTTGGTGGCTGCTCTAAGGGTGATGGTCGCTGTTTGAAAATATGAGATGGTTTTCAAGAAAACTGTTTATTTTGCTGCGAAACCTTCGCTAAAAGTTTGATTATTTTTGCAAGGTTAAAAATTAATTCTTTTTCTTTTATAAGACAATGAACTATATTGTTTGCACATCATATTATCAAACCTGTTTTCAATTGATATATTGAAATATAAAATTTAACTAATATTGAGAATAACGCAACATTTTGCTGACACATAAACGTTCGGACACGATACTAAAAAGAAAATATTAGCAGGCCATGGAAACAAAGAAGTATTTACAATTTGACGTTTTGATTTAAGAATCAATTCTGGGAATCAATTTGCTTTAAGATGTCGCGTGGTAAAGCACGAACGGTGCAATACGAGTTTTAATCATAAAAATGTTTCAAAGAAAGAGTTTTCTGGATATTGCTAAGTAAATAAATGATGCAGGTGGCAGATATTGTAAAAACGTATGGAGACAGGTCGACGAGGTACTGCATGGGAAATAACAGCAAAATGGAATGAAGAAACAGCAGGAAATTTTTCCCAAGAAACGTACCGTCGCGTCGGTGGATTCATAAGTTTGGTTTACATTTTTAGGGTAGGTACGTAGGTGCATTTAAGGGGCATATGGCATATTCATTCAGTAAAAATATTTGCTTTAGGCAAAAGAAATGCCGTTGCTTACGGAAAAACAAAAGAAAAGGCAATTAGCGTGGGCTAAAGAACGAGCAATCTGTACTTGGAAAGACTGGAAAAAAATCTTTTTTAGCGATGAATGTGTGGGTAACCACGGATCCCGGGTTATAAGAAACAAAAATGAAGCGGTTCATATAGACTGCCTAAAGAGAAAAGTAAACTTCCCATCAAGTTTAATGGTATAGGGAAGCATCTCTGCTTTTGGCGTTGGAAAGCTCTACTACGTAGACAGAACTGTAAACGCAGCTAAATATCAAAATGATAAAAACTTTATACTTCAACAAGATGGAGCGTCATGTCATACGGCCAAAACCACGAAAAAATGGTTGCAGAATAATATTTCCGTCATTGACTGGCCTTTTAGTAGTCCTGATTTAAATATTATCGAAACTGTACGGCTCAAAATGAAGCAGCAGTTAAGAAATGATCCACAACGAAGCATTTCTGATTTACGAGTAAAATTACAAAATATATGGGATGCTATTAATGCTGTTATTAAGGGAAAGGGAGACGTAACGCGCTATTGCAATGGTTCGTCCGAACATTTATGTGTCAAATACTGAGTTATAATAATAATAATAATAATGCCTTTATTAACTGCAGTGAGGCGAAGTTTAGCCAGACGGCTACTCTTACACTTAACCCCACAACAGGAAAAAAGAATACTTACACACATAAACAAAATAATAACATACCAAAAAAGAAATACAATTCATAAGAATGACAACATTGATTGCACGAGACAAATGCAGATAGCATTGCGAGAGTTTTAAATTTGAAACAAAACTAGTAGAAAATAGACAAACACAAAAAAATCACATGAGCACAAGAAAAACTGAACTAAATGGACTCCAGCAGCTGACTTTTCATTAATTTCTTAAAAGAAACAACCTGTTTGGATCGATAGCCACTGTTGACTGCATTGTAATGCTTGACAGCATTATAGGTGTAACTTCTTTCAAAGACCGAGGTATTGTGAGGAGGCATGTTAAAATTAGCATTAAATCTAAGAGCTCTGGTAACAAAACTACCTCGGTGAACTAATTTGCTAGCGAGGTAAGCTGGTCTGTTAGATAGTAGAACTTTATGCGTGAAGACGGTCAAAAGATATAATCACTATACACACACTACACAATATAACTTATCAATTCGCAACCACTTGAGTTCTTTGATTTTATCTGAGACGCGACTAAACTTGCGCAATCCAAAAATAAACCTACAACAGCTGTTCTGAATTTTCTCTAGTTTCCTTTTGTGGACGTAGTCTAAACATGGGTAATACAGAACAAGAGAGTAAGAAATGACAGACAACACAAGACTTTCAGCGAGCTTTTTTCGGGTTTTAAGATTCAAGATGTATCGATTAGAATAGAGGAGTTTCAAACGCAAATACGTTACTCTAGATAAGAAAGAGACATGCCGATCGAATCTCATATTTAAGTCAAGGGTAACACCGAGATTCATGGCGTAATCCACAAAAGGGATGAGTGTCTCATCCAAAAAAACACAAATCCTCTGCTTCATTTCACGGTAGGAGTTCTTCGAACAGTACAACATTGCAGTAGTTTTATTAGGATTGATCTTCAAGCAGTGTTTGTTACAGTAATCACCGATGTAAGCCAAATCTAAATTAACATTAAAAGAAACTTCATCAACCTTTGATGGATCGAAACCAAACACTAACTGAGTATCATCTGCATAAGTTTGCATACTACAGTGGACTAAACAGTCTTGCAGATCGATCGTATAAATCAGATATAGTAAGGGACCTAATACTGAGCCCTGAGGAACTCCTGAAGGAACTGGCTCAGAGGAGGAAATTCCCTGATCAGTTTTCACTGTTTGTTGACGATTTAGCAAGTATGACTCAAAGAACCTTAGAACTATATCTGACATTCCATAATGAGATAACTTACTCAGTAGTATCTGGTGATTGACCATATCAAAGGCTTTCGAGAAATCTAACAGTACCAAGACGGTGTTGATGTGATTATCTAAATTGTGAATGATGGAATCAGTATGATGTAATAAAGACGAAGTAGTGCTGTAACCAGCTCTGAAACCTGACTGATGTAGAGGAAATAAGTGGGTTTGTTCGAAAAACTCCACTAGTTGTGAGTAGACAGCTCTTTCGAGTATTTTTGATAGAAAGCATAATAAGGTAATTGGCCTGAGATCCGAATATTGTTCTGGATGATTAGTTTTAGCTATTGGAATAATAATACCATTTTTCCAACTGGCAGGAAAGTAATCTGTTTCGAGTCAGACATTAATAATGTGAGTTATATGGTCTATGGTATCAGACAAACATAAGCAAACCATCAATATTAGTTTAGATTTATAGTTTAATACCCTATTACTTGATAATAATTTTGTTAATATGATGTCCAAACAACATATTTCAATGTCTTATAAAAGAAAAAAATTATGTTGTAACCATGAAAAATAAACAAACTTTAAGATAAAATTAGATAATATCCGAACTATTTTGTGCTAAGGCTCGTATTATTACGTTCCACGTGGGCGGAGATGATCATGACAAAGTCTCACGGGAATATTTTGCCTGTGAAGCCGCTGTTTTCGCGTTTATTATTACGAATCTTTTCGCATCTCAAATGTCCGTCGCTTCTAACCGCGCTAATTTTGATATACGGCATCGATTTTGATAAGATTTTCAAAATAGCATTTTATAAAGTCAAAAGTGTCGACAAAATTTAGAAGATACCATTAACCGTATTTTTGTATCTTATATTGCAGGAAGTTGAAAAAAAATGGATAGGTAAAATTTGACAAAAGTTCAGATTTCGTAGGTTTCGCAGGTTTCTAGACGTAGTTAAAACAAACTGTATGGACTAAGAATGTTTAACATGACGCAAATTTTTGAACGTTATTTATTATGTAGGTTCTGTAGTGGCACTTCCAACCTTTTCAACATTTGTTGTGGTTCTAATACCTACACCTATATTTTCTTCTGTGCCGCAAATCGAGTCTCATAATAAATTTTGAGTAGAAAAACAAAATTTAAACAATAAGATTCCTCATCATGCTCTTCTTCAACAATCAAGTTAAATTTTGCGTTTGATAAAGTGTAACGATATTGAGGTTTTTAAGGTGTGATAAACATCTGCATTCTCAACATCAACACTATATTGACAAGAAGTAAAAAATCAATGTTCAACAAACATCACTCATCACTTGTCCCATCATACAGACTTAAAAAATCGTTTTGCTCTTTAACTGTGCTTTTTCGAACTCCTTAGACTCGTCTTCCTTTGACCGTCGTTTACATCAATTTTGAAGGCAGCACGCGGATTTTTCTTGCTTTTTTTACTCTTCATAGGTTGATTTTCCTCATCATCGTCGATAATTGTCCATTCCCCTACCTGTACAGTTTTCACTCGTTTTTTACGCTTCTCCACTGGTGCACCAGTTGGTTCATTATCTAGTTTCAAACCTTCACTCTCAAAAGTATTAGTGGATATAGTCTTCTTTCTTTTCTTTGGTTGTTTGATCCCTGTCGCGCCTTGTTGTGTGACAGGAATACTATTTACAGTTTCACAAGAAGTTTTGATTTTCTTCTTTTTGGATTTCTCTTTTTCAGTTATATCTTTTCTATAATTGTCCATGACTTCGCTTGCTACCTCTTCTTTCAACTTTTCTTTTTTAGATTTTTTGGATTCAATTGTTAACTCTGTCACATCTGGGATTTCATCATTCATTTTTTTGTCTCTGTGCTTTTTATTCTTTTTGTGTAAATTACTTCGCTGACCACTACTGTTCAAGTCTTTTGCTACCTCTTCTTCCAACACCACCTTTTTCTTTTTTGATTTCTTTGATTTATCTAAAGATCCTCTAGTTTCTTGGGTTTCAGCATCTGTTGTTTGTGGGGCTTCACTGCCTGTTTTCTTCACTTGTTTGGAAACATCTAGTGTTTCTTCATCCTGATCATTGATTCTGTGCACTATAACTTTACCAGAAGGGTGGACGGTAACCTCCGTGTTTAACTGTGCTGTTAACTCTCCTGAGTAAGTTTTATAGGCCTTAGGTTTTTTGGTTGCAAGCTTAGGAACATTCAGTGAACTAGGCGAATCTGAAACAATATCACAAAAACAGTCACATATTTGTAAAAAATCCTAAAACGCAGACATAAGGTTAATAGAGGAATTAATGTATTGATTGTTTTCCTATTATAATGTATAGTTCGAAGTTGTTTCAATCAATTTTATTAGTACAACATGAATGTTGATCAAAACCATAAATATTGTATAGATGCATTTACGTATTTGACAAACATAAACAAGCCATCAGAATGTAACCCCTGAAACTAATGCAGTAGTTTTCATCTCAAAAAAACTCCATGTTTTCCTCGCTAAATGAAAGCATATAAGTAGAAATTACTCTTTACTAACATAAGCCCACCATAGTGGCCTTTTGAAAATACAGATCGGAATGACAATGTCTGTAAAAAATGTGTACAAAAAAAGTAAGGCTTCAAAATTCTTTCATATTGGGCCTGTTTGAACATCTCGTAGGTGTGAAAGAGAAAACATGATTTTTTTTCGTGGAACGTTACAGGCGGGGCAGCGCCATTTTGCTTTTGCTTTCCGTTGCGGTCTTGGTTGTGTGTGGGAGTTGTTTCGTTAACTTCCAGATTCTGGAATATTAACGCCCCAAACACCAGTTTATGGAGTAGTGCCCGTTGATTTTGAACTTTACGTTTAGTTGTGTTGGTTTGGGAGCTACCCCGTCCATTTTCTAATTTGATTTCAACCTTCAGCGTGGAAAGGCATTGCGGAGAACCACCATTTACACTCCTCCAGCTTTGTTTTGTAACTGTTTTGTAGCTGTTTACAGCCGATTTTGCTGGAAGCAACCCCTACCTAAAAACGCAAGTCGTCTCTCTTACCATATTGGAAATTGGGAATTTTTCGAAGAATTTTTTCGAACTGCAAAGTTTTATAGAGTGATCTAAAAAAAATATTTGAAAATAAAAAACAAACTTAAACTTAAACCGGAAGTAAACATTTCAAACCAAAATTTGGACAACTACGCATTTATTATTTTCGATTTTTTACTCCAAAATATAGCTCGTATACTCGTATTTAAAATTCATCAGAAGCATTGTATTGGTATGCCCATTAATTAAGAATGTATGCGCTTGTTTAGGTCGACTGTTTTGCGAGATATTGCATTGATAGGCTACCCTACATGTATTTTTCAGCTTTTTAAATATATTTTAACATAAATCTAGTTTATTTTTATACGATTTACTGAAATATTGAACTTTGAAAATATGTTGCAAAACCGGAAGTAAAGCCAAATTTGGGTAACTTCTATCATTTTTGTCCTAGTTTTTTACTTCAAAATATAACCTATAGTTTGTTTAAAACACATTCGAAGTTCAAAATGTATACGTCTTACTTACGGTTTAGCAACATATTTTTTCAAATTTCAATAATTAATAATGTATAAAAATACACTATAATTTCATGTTAAAATATATTAAAAATGACCATTAAAGCTGAAAAATACTCATACTGTAGGCTATTAATGCAATATCTCGCAAACCAGTCGACCTAAGGAGGCGCCTAACGTCATAGCCAGGTACAGAAAAATAATTAATCTGTATACCACTTGAAAGCTTCTGATGTATTTTAAACAAACTTTAGGCTATACATATATGGGATTAAAAAATGCGAAGTTGCCCCAATTTTGGTTTGAAATGTTAGCACCTCAAGTTCTTTTTGAATTTCAAATTTGTTTTTTCAGAAAGTTCAGAAGTTCTTCAAAAAACTCCTAATTGCAAATGGAAGCCCGTAACTGAACGCAGATGAACGTGTTTTCTCTTTCTCTCCTACTCCAATATGAACGAATTTTAAAACCTCACTTTTTTTTCGGTGACCGCTTCACGTGAAATGCCCCAATAGTAACTAATACTAATGTATGTCTATAAAAATGGGCACTAATGTAGTAAACTTTCCTATTTTATTCTTCATTGAGTGAATGAGATATATACAGGGCATTCGGAAGGTCGATGCCAACCTTTTGAGGGTAATAAGTAGTACACCGTTTTTCGAACACTACCACATACATGTTACAAATTAGACTCTCACTACTTGGATCTCAGAAAATGTAAAGCATATCGATTAAATAGGGACAATGTTGCAGATTTCAGTAACTAAGGTGATGACACCTAGCCATTTTTTCAATTCCTAGTATTTCCTGACATAGACGAAAGAAACCGAATTGTCCCAAGATCGTTTTTATTGTTTCTGACTTATTTAAGATGGGATTTCATAATAAATAATTAACATTAAGATTGGCATTTATTCTCCCCCACGAGATGGTATCATAAAAATTTCAGTATGACTTCGTCTCTTGTCCTCAAGGACCCTTAAATAATATTTTATATATTTAGCATAAGATTATTCATTATTCACTGATTTGAGACCAATTATCGGGAGTTTACTTTTATGTACACTTGACAACTTATAATATCAATCCATGTCATAATATGTATAATATCAAATAATCAAAATCGGAAATAGGGACTGTCTAGGTGTGCCTAGTTCATAAAAGGCGAAGGAATGCTTAGCTGATGATATTATGAAACAAATGACTGCTTGATAATTTCAAGGACTACTTAAGAAGTACAGCTTTTTGAAATCGCTAAAGTTTTGCAATGTCAATGTATGATATGTTATATATTTAAGGAATCAGAATTAGAAACTATTCACCTGTACAAAAATCTAATATAGCATCTATAAGAAAAAATAAAGGCAGGGAAGAATAAAAACGATTTTGAGAAAATTCGAAAATAGCTACTTAATTGCGCAAATCTGCCCCCATTTAACCAACTTCGTGTCTCTTACCGTTTCCGAGATTCCAATGGTAAGAGCCGCAATTGAAATATCCGATATACCCTAGTGCAAAGTCATCGTCATTTTAGGTTAGGCGCATTTGTGTGAAAAAATACAAAATGACGCCATGAACCATCCCGTGTTGAATAATATTATCTCATTTTTATCTTTTATCTTGACACCAACAGTTCAAAGGTTGCTGAAAAACTGCTTACACATTATAAAAAAATAATGTTGGCTTACTGAATTTCCAACGCTTCGTGGGAATTTATGAAAAATTTGGCAACAGGGTAATTTAAAATCAATGAAAAAATTGCTGATCTTTCTTATGGTATATTATAACAAGCCAAAAATCCATTTTCCTGAAACAAAGCAACAGTGGCAGCATTATTCATTTATTAAATAACAAAATGCAAATGTTTATTATTTATGCATTTTCGTACTCTTGTTTCACATTCCTATAGTAGTAGTTAGTTTACTCGGAGTGATTCGGTTTCACAGTACCATGTAGCTTTACTCAAGATTAACTTGGAAGGTATGGCAACTGCGCATATCCAAAATATTACAAAAACATGACATTTATTTTGCATATTTACAACTAACATTTTCAAGAACATTACAAGACTTGAGAGCAAACGACACTGACGGAACAAATAGCCAGGTATCATAACTATGTCTGACAAGAAAAATGTCATCCATGGAGTGATTTACAGCGAATTTGTTAACTGTAAATATGGGCAAGGCTCAATAAATAATTTTCAGTTTCACTACATACGATGAGGTTCAGATTTGACAACACCTCATCTCGTACATTCCAATGGAACCGATTTTTCGGTATTTCTACCTAAATGAGACCTTATTTGTCGAAATACCAAAACGGAATTTTCCACGATTTTTTAAAATAATCCAGATAGTTCCAGATTTTTTACCGAAAAAGAGGTGGAACCAAAAATAAAGATAAAAAAATGAAGTCTATGTAGTTTTATGGTCCATACCAGTCATACATAAGAGTATACTTAGGCAGTCAGGCAGACGAGGGACGTAGATTTGGGTTGCCTACAATTGTAGGCTTCTTCCGCTTTACCTATACTGGTTTTTGTGCGTATAACAGGTACAGACTGGTGTAGATCCCTCTGTTCAACCCACTTTGAACACGCAGAATGTGGACCTAGCAACTGCGCTTAGGTCCCTTCAACAAATAGTAAGTCCCCTGATTAGCGCCACTCAGGCATTGTTGGCGATCTTTCCGCAGCCATTGAATGGCTAAGTACAATAGACAACCTGCATTTATCATCTGTCAGGTATCTTGGAGTCATCATTGACAAGGGATTGACCTGGCAGAAACATACTGATATTTTGAAAACAAAATTCCAAATTACCTTTCGGCAGCTTTATCCTCTGTTGTGCAGAAATTCAAAATTAAGTTTGATCAACAAGATTCGGTTGTATAAAATGGTCAAAGACCCAAAATCACCTACGCATGCGCGGCTTGGTGTTTTCTTGCCAAGACGCACATGCACAGACTGCAAGTCCTGCAAAACAGAACCCTACGCACAATTACTAACGCCCCTTGGTACGTGTCAAATGAGACTATTCACAGAGATCTTTATATCCTATATTTAAGGGATTACGTAAAACAACAGGCGCAGTGGCGTTATAATCAAGCGGAATCGCACAGCAACCCTCTGTTGCGTGATTCAGTAGACTACACAGTCGAGCAAGTTCGCAAACATTCCAGGCCGCGCCTTGCACTGTGATCAAAATTAAATTGTAAATTATTTCAGTATACAAAACCGATCAAAATTATTTTTTGTAGTTACAAAATGATCCGAGTAGTCAAAGCAATAATGCTTAAGCTATTTCAAATGATTTACATCTTTTCTTTGCTCTATTTCTTCCTTCCTTTCTTTCCTTCTTTTTCTTTTCCCCTTAAACATGTTTGGTATCTGGGTAGCCAGACCTGACAGACTAACAGACCGACGAGACTTTTAACTAAGAGCAAAGGTCCACCGAACCGCTCTGACGAATAATGACGAATAGTATAGCATTCTGCTGTGTTAGTGGTTGCTATTTGAATTAACAAAGTTGACCTCCAAATGAAAAATGTGATATACTATTAGTATGTGCACATTTTATCACATTTATTTTATTTATTTGATTTTCCTGTGTTTTTACTTTTGTAATTTTTTTCTTCTGTAATATTCCCAATCTATTTCGTTCTCTTTTGTGTTTTTGACTGATGTACAATAATGCGATCCGATTTTATTTAATCACTCATCTTTTATCCCCCATTCTTGTCTAGCCAATAAAACTACAAGCATTAACAGAATCTTCTTTACTATAAATGTTTTGATTACAAATGTGATCTGATTCAGTACAATGATAATGTGTTGCATTTATCTGTTTTCCAGATGACCGTTTGTTTTCTTTTCATTATCATTCATTTTTTGGAACTCTTTATATAATTATGCCATTTTACAGATCTTTATTTGATTGAGTAATTTGTATTGTGTTGTTCTGCTGCAGTTTTAACTTATTCATTTTTTTTTTACTACTTTGTGTAAGCAACGTAGTGCCTCAACAACAATAGATTATTATTACTCACCTACTCATTCTAATGAGGTTCACAATTACATATTTCTGATGCATATTCATGCCCTCCCTGATCGCCTGTTGTTGTATTTTGTAATAGTGGGTTATAAGGATCTGGTTTCCGTTTTCTTAAATAATTCATAAATTTTGCAAATTAAATGCTCATTGGATTGGAAGTCATTTCATCCTATAAAGCAGTTCCTTTGGCTAGGTCCGCCCATAAAATTCAAGCAGAAGTTAGATCTGCACAAAAATGTGTTAGAAATGAGCATGATAAGTACTGCTCTATTTTCTACAACACACAATCTATAGTGCATCAAGATTTTGTACTTCTGGGGTGTATCATTTGTTCTGAAGTTTTGTAATGCTCTTGAAACCTACTGAATTTGTGGGGTTACCATATCTTCCCAGTGAATGTTCAGAACAGCTACACGATACTGAGAAACCGAATCACTCTTTGTATAGTGACTACTGCTGCAGGAATACAAAACAAGGGTATGAAAATGCGTAATAAATCAGAATACTGTTTTTGAGTGAATGAATAACTTTATCATTATCTAGTCCTTTGTTTCACGAAAAGTGGATTTTTTTTTGTAATTTCGACGACAGTCTGCTTGACCTAATATCTTATGTTATTGAGAAAAAAATTATAGTTGTATCACTTTGTATACATACCATAAAAAATAGCAGCAGTAGAGGAGAGTTTTTCAATATTATTAAATGACAAAGTTGCCAAATTTTTCCATAAATTCGTTTGAAAGGTCATGGAGTGAACCAACAGTATTTTTCATAACATCTCAATAAATCTCAATAACAAAAATACTGGAACAAAGGAGTCCTCATCATTAACGTACCATTGATGGTTAATCAAATGATATTGGCTTTTTTCTAGGATTTCACAAAATTGTGAGTAAGTCAAATATGATTGGACATTGTACTAAGGTATAATTTATGTGGTTCAATGTGTTCCAAATGAGGTGTATTATTATGTCTTATGGGTTATTGAATAAAAATTTGAAATATGAATTTACAGGTAACTGATAGGTAACTTCCAAGTTATTGATACCAAACTTGAGAGTCAACCTGCGATTGAAAAAGCGGGACTAATTCTCGGTGTGGACTCCACGACTTGCGTCTACCGTATATGAATGCAAATTAGATTTGTCGACTGTTTTCATGTCTTCAGGTATCCGTTTTAACATTAAATTTCTATATTGAGCTGTACTTGGCACCTTGACACCACACCTATTAACATACAGGGTGATTCGCAAGTCGTGACCAAGAATGAAACTGCACAGGACCGCATTTTAAAGAGGGGTCTTCTATGTAACATTTTTTCTTCAAGGGCTTCATTAAAAAGATACAAGTTGTTGAAGTTTAAAAATAAAAAAAAAATTTTTTAATATCTTTAAAACTGTCCACTGGAATGAACTAAAATTTGGTATGTGGAGTTACCTAAGTATTACCCGCATTCAGAACTCTTTACTTAAAATTAACGTGCACAAGTGGCGGATATACAGGGGGCATTATAATAAAAATAGTACACCACTGTTTTCATTTTCGAATTTTACCTTCAATTTTCCATAGAAAGGATCACCTCGATAGACCTATTCAAATCTATGCTGAAACTGCTTTATCAGTAACTATTTTTATGCAATAAGCGACATTGTCAGTTTTAAAATATCATTTTTTATCACTAATTTAAAGTTGTTTGTTGTTGCATGTTACTTGTTTGTCTTTTTTATTCATTAACTGTTTACATATTTATTTATTGTATTTTTGACGAAACCGATACATGTTCGAGCATGTATGTATAATGAAGATCTGAATGGGCAAGCTAGCACGACAAATGAAAATGAACTTTTTAATATATATGTACATATTTTTTTTTAAATCTTTTGTTATATTACTGCTGCATCTGCATTATAATAAAACATAAATACCTTTATTTTGTGTGATTAAAAATGTGTTATATTTAGACAAAAAATGTCAAGTATCAATGTGTACTTTTTTTTTGTTTAAAAATTATGGCGACCTTAAGCATGTCTGAAGGTAAATAAATTTTTTATCATTATTATTATTAATTTGGTACACATAATTACTCTTGTGTTTTTTCTAGAGTGCATTGTATCCATGATAAAATAAACAAATTAGATAATCAAAGCTTTATTACAATAAATTTTCAAAATGACCACCATTCTGACAGATAAGTGTGGCATCTTTATAATAAAGAAAAACGTATTTCCGCAAAAATTGTTGTTGCTTGAATTTGATGAAACCCATTATATATATGCTTTCTTGTGGCGTACAATTTCTATTTTGAGCTAATCCCCTGTATCTCCGCCACTGGTGCACGTTAATTTGAATTAAACACTTTTGAATGTAGACAATACTTAGGTAAATCCAAGTTTTAGTTCATTAGGGTTGATGGTTTTGAAGTATTAAAAAAATGTGCATAGGTGGTCAAAAGATGGCAGCTATAAAATTACAGAAAACAATGCCATAATTGAGGGATCATGGAAGAAGCTACAAAACTTCTACTTACCCAATGAAACATAAATTGGAATAGATGTTGATCTTGTAGCATACATATGGATACTTTTAATATTTTCAAACTTGCCAGGAAAATTGCTATCCAAAAATTCAATAACACCTTTTAGATTCTCTACTAATTTATTAGACTCCATCTTAGTATGTCCAAACTGTACATTATAACTAGAACTTTTCAAATGCAGGTTCAATATTGTTTTCGATAGTGCCTTTTCAATATGATCATGTAAATTTGTTGCATGGAGTTTTACTGCTGTAGGTACTTTACGTTTTTTATAAAACAGTCTGCCGCATTTTGCAACAACTTTCCCACTTATTTTTCCATCAACAAGGAATATGTCATAGAGATCCACTAATCTAGAAAGCTGCTCAAATGTTTCATATTCAGTCCTCAGTTCATGAAAAGTCATGATTTTTTTAATATTTGTAACACCTCTGCTTTCGAGCAACTTCTCATAATGTTCTACATGTTTTTCATGCTCTGCATTTTTTATACCTTTCACATCTGGTACAATTAAGCAAATTTCATCATCAAGACCAAGAATTGTATGTCTCATTGGCACCCTCAATAGTTTTGGATGACCTTTTGGAATTTTATGTACACTGATCATCAAAAACAAAGGTACCTGTTCATCAAACAGCTGGTTTTGAAGTTTAGGATTTGACTCACGGTATTTAATAATGCCTTTAATGGCATTGTGAATGTCTTTCGTTTTTATGTTATATTTCTCCGTGAAGCTTAATGTAAATGTTTCAAACCCATTTTGCGTGACCTCCTCAATCTGCGTTACTTTCCCGTCAGAAGTTAATTCCTTCTTTTTGCCTTTTGGTGATTTCAGAAACGGTGTGCCCTCTTGCAGCTTTTTCTTAGCCGGATGCAATAAAACAGGGCCTAGCGATTTTCGGGTTGCTTTTTTAGGTTTTTTAGAGGCAACTCCACTGAGTAAATTGTGCTCCTTAGGCTTTTTCTTGCTAAGCTTAACACTCTCCGATTTAGCCATGTCTCCTTGGTAAAATTAAAACGTTAGAAGCACACGTCACAGGCAGAAAAACAGTTTAATGTAACACAACGTGCAAAGTGAGAAACAAATGGGTAAAGTTTGGTTAAAAAAGTGAGGTTATCCAAGTTACCATGACAGCAACTAAAGTCGGCCACCGAAGATGTTCTTACCCGACATAGAAGTTATAGTTGCGATTCTGTAAGTTCAAACTCTTCTACTGAAACTAAATTCGTCATTTTTAGGCAGAAAAAAGTTCTTGAGGGGTCAGGATTCATGTTCAGGAAGATATCCGTCTGGCGAGTATAGCTTCAGCCCCTAAATCCTCTCCTGAATACCTCAGTAGATCCGTGGTATTCTATATATCTTGTGGTTTGCAATACAGTTCGGCCCTCGGCCTCTTGAATTAAATATCGTTGCGTTTTTTGACATTTTATCTGCACTGCAACCTTTACATCTGTAGTAGTTTGCTTTCAGCGTATACCTTTTGTGATTTGCATGTTGTCAACATAGGATATGTTGCTTTTGGAAGAATTGATGGAAATATAAGTATGACTAAAAATGACTTCCAACTGGTCGTCCCAAGAACGGCATTCAGTGTGATGTGATGGTATTTGGGGTTGTGAAGCAGACGTGAAATCTATCTTCATCTCAAAGGCCGTCCTATCACGATACGAACCTTTGTGCTAAATTAAGTACCAAATTTTGTGAGAAAATTCGATACTGAACTTAGTTCCCAATTTGTTTACAAATTACAATCCTGTCTGATACATAAAGAAATTCAAAAAAAATTCGAACGAAAAACTATAACTGTCAACTTCTAACTGCTATTTATCACGTCAAAGTCATTCTAATCACAGGTTGCGGCTGATACTTTATTATTTCATCACTTTAAACTGTAAACGAATAGTAAATTGTAGAAAATGGAGCGATCGAGTAATTCGCAGGGCGAAAGGCTATTCCAGTAATGAAAGCGTTTGAGCTTAAGTTTGTTTTTGTCATCTAATTATCATCTCATCTAATCATCACGAAAGAGCAAAAAATATCAAGGAGTTAGCAGAAAACACGTAATTCCTTGTCACGTGGCGCTTTTAGCAGCTACTGTACTGGATTGTACTGCTCCAAATGTACAGTAGGCGTCTGCACACTCTAAGAATAAGCCTATTTATGATATTAGCGGTTAGCTACTGACTAAGGCCGTCCGTCACGATACGAAATTTAGTATAGTTGTAGTCACCGTTCATGGCGGGTCAAAGTAAGACTACCAGTATCGCTTTATATATCTGTATCTGCGTCATACATACACATGCAATCTACCCGTGTATGTGAACGGTTGTTTGGTAAGATAAAGACAGTAATGACAGGAAGATAAGGGAAACAACGGTCCCCTGTTACACACCCCATGCGTACTGGAGAGATTAGCAGATGCGCTGAAGATTAGTCTGCGCAGTGTTCCGCCAGTGATATACATCGTGTATACGTCTCGATATTCACGTATTCAATCTATACAGTGTATACAATAGCGAATCATAATTCAACTACCTGCATACAGTGCTGGCAAAAGTCCCTTCCCCTTTTAGATGTCCATGTGTACGAGGAAGAGAGAGAGGGGGAGAAGCGGGCACCAGTTGTGTAGAAAGAGTGCGCCAAACACCATGCTGCCTGGCACAGCAGTGATGAAGGCCACAGAACACGACTGTAACTTGCTGTAATGCCTTGTTTTTTACGTCCAAATACTCATTTCTGTCGAATCTGTTTAAGATTAATTCCGGGTCGACTCTTATGGCTCTCATATTTTAGGTGGAACTGAAAGTTCAGGATCGCTACAAATTTTGGAACATTGAATTATTGGTTCGACTGCGAAAGCAGTTTATAAATAATGGGAAAGGGTATAAATATATGATATTTATTTATATACGTACACAAAGATACAGTTTTAAATAAATTAGGAACATTTCTTAAGTAAAATAAAACAAAACACTTGTGTGATTTCAATCGAAATGTAGCAGAATTGGACTTTTTTTTGCAGACACTACACTCTACGGAATATGTCTTTTCATTTTTAAACAAAATGAACCCTATAAATTTATCCAACGAACGTACGGAGTAATGAAACAACTGACAGGGCAGCTCGATTTACACCGCATAGTTACCTGCAAAACCGATGATGCGTTATCGCCAGTGGCGTTTAGGTTTTAAAATTAACTGAGGCACCATTTAATTCATTTTCACTGTTTCCTCTTTTTTTTTATTACTTTCAAGGTTCTATAAGGTTTTTTATTACATTGATATATTAAATATGCTGCCCCAGTTTATAATTCGTTAAGTTTACATATTTTTTATATTACAAAAATAATTTTAATACATGGCAAAAAATAAAGAAAAAGACTCAAAAATTAAATTCTTTTTTAGATTGGATTCTGGATCTTTTTAATATAATACCTAATAATGAATCTACATGTATTCATTACCACGTTTATTTCGAAGGATCTATCCGGATAGACTTTAAAGTGGATAATCCCAATCATGTGTAATCCTGGCCGTTTATTTCGGCAATCCACAAGTTAAACCAAAACTGATAACGTCAAAATCTTGGACAGAGGGCTCCTCCAAAATTAGCGGTCAGGATTAGGACAACCTACTTTGAAGTCTATCCGGATAGAGCCGTCGAAATAAACATGGTAATTATCTAGGTATGTTTAGGAATATAGGTCCGTTTTTTAGTTTTAGTTTTTTGAAGTCTGGCAAGTCTTCGTCGTCGTCGTTTATTGATAACAAAATTTTGTCCAATGTGGGTGGTTCGTTTTGGAAGAAAAATTCATGGATTTTTCTTCTGATTAATGCCTTAGTTTCTTGTGAAACATTGTCCTAAACTACTCTGGCTCTGTGGCAACCTTTGGGGGGAGAAAGGCTTCATTTGTGCTCTGCTAAAATTTTATATACACCGTTAATTGATGCTGCTGAAAACAAATTAATCCATTTTGCATATATTCTATATACATGCATTAATAAATAATAAAAATAATTGAAAATAAGTTTTGAATATCAAAATGTGGGTAGGATACTTAACATAAAATAACTATTATTTAGAATAATACGTCAAACCACAAAACATTTTAAGCTATACTTCAAAGCTAAATCCTCACCTGATGCTCTTAAAACAAAGGATACACGTTCTGTCTGAGTTTCATTTGGATAGTGCTCCCGAGAAGCTATATAAATATTTATAATATTTTCTTTTTCAGAAACCGACAAAGCTCTCTTTATACATTTTCTTGGTAATTGGTCCTCGTCTAATAAGGCACTCATGTCGAAATATCCTTTCAAAAGTTGTCTCACAAAAATAAATGAAGCACATAAAAAAAATTCAACCGCACGCCACAGACCTTCGTACGCAATTAAAGTGCTATTGTGAACTTGGCGGCTTATCTACCAAAGACGGACCAATAGGAAAGAGGTGCGTGCCGGTCAGATGACTTATTATTCCATACGTTCGTTGGATAGATACATATATAGTTCATCAATTTCTTTGTTCTTAGGGCGTCCAACCATATTTTTTTGTCGGTTCACTGTTCACCAACTTTCTGACGTTTACGAATAAACCTAACCTCACTTACGCTATTATATACATTAATCAAATTCAAGCGAATAACCAAATGAAAATGGTATTTACCATTTTGGATTGGTATTTACCGATCCGTTCAAGCGAGTGTGGTTATCAGTTTGGTTATACGATCCGTGACGTCATGAATCAGCTGTTATATGTCATAGTTATCACCGCAAAATTGTGGTATTTATCCAACTCGGGAGTGGTTTTATATTTCTGGTTATTATTTGAAATGTGACAAGTTAGAATTTTGCTGCGTATTTGATGTTTTTATTGTACTTCAGCTTCATTTTTGGGAAACTTGATACAGGCTGACTTCAGTTGTAGCATAAACAAGAGCCACCTTATTAATTATACTCATTACTGTTGTTGGGGACACTTTAAGTCTAGTTCCTATGCTTAACAAAGTATCCTGTGTAGCCATATACCACAAGAATTTTAAAATGAATATGGCAATATAAACTCATTGGATAATGTCCACCTATATACGGTTTTGCTAATATCTTTTTTTTTCATCGCGTATTACCATCATTTCTGCTAAATCAATAAATGTTTTCTTTGATATGCGGAAAAGTTTAGAGAATTGAAAGTTACCATAGCTACAAAAATTATTTAAAAAAAAAACAATTCTCCCATTAATATTATGAAAGGTTTCTTTTTGAAACTTTCCATACACTGTTGTAGACGAAATTATATACGCGCTTTTCTAAAATAAACAACTTGCAACAAAACCACGGTTAAAACCAACGCATTCAAGCGATTCGAGTAACTGAGGTCATCAACCCGTGTGTCATCTTGAACCATATTATAACCGCGGTACATAACACAGAAATTTTGGTCATTCGCTTGGATTTGATTATTGTCTGCATCATTGTATACATTGTATTCTCTGAATACGCGATGTACACATTGTATACATCAAGACGTAGACAATTAATATATACGCGTAAACGCCCATCACTGTGTTCAGCCACGATCAGCCCATGGTACGGAGACTCGATCTGTTTACTTATTTCGTATGGCGTATGACATATGACGTAACCGCCAAGAACGGTGACTACAACTATACAAAATTTTGTGAGAACATTCGTCTTTACATGACAGACAGGATTGTAATTGGTAAAAAAATTGGGAACTAAATTCAGTAACGCATTTTTTTACAAAACTTGATACCAAATTATGAACAAAATTTTGTATAGTGTCAGACACGGCCTTAAGGATAATGTTACTTGATAATCTTCCTTGTGATTTAGCGATCTTCAGGTTTGTGTACGGTTTAACAGTGACTGGTGTCAATAAGCAGCTGTGTACATACATAAAAAATTGCAAGCGTATGTATCTTTTCATGGTAATTAATGAGAATATTTTGAGATTTCATAAATAAAACGTAATAGATGCGTTTAGCAATCGTTTTATTCTAAGTAGCCGTTCAGATTTTAGCAATCATTTCAACATTAAATTTGTAAAGAAGTTACCTACCTATTGATTTTGTTATGATTTCCGTCGTCTTTGATAAATCCACAAACACTGCAATCAACTATATCTTACTCCATAAAAGATACTCAGCCTTATGTCTGATACACAGGTTGTCAGTGATGGTATCCAAGGATCCTTCCAATTGTACATAGAGTGCTTTGCAATAACCAAATATTAGAAAATCGTCTACATATATATATATATACAGGGTGACTTCGAAGTTGAGTCATTTATTTTAACAGTGAGTAGATCTGATCAAAAGAAATGTTTTTTCCTTTACCATTTTTCTGGTAAAATTAAAGTAACAAAGTTATAGCCCTTTGGAAGTTTGAGTACCGCCCTGTCTTAATAATAATATCATGTGCTCGTGTTTGGTAACAACGGATATAATCCGCCTTATCGGTTCATCGCATCGGAAACAAAAAAGCGAAAGAATTTGAAACGCTTATCACGATGTTTTTAGTTGTATTCCGTCAATGTATCAGTCGGTAACGCGTGAGTGAATAGTGGTGTTTTTACAATTGTTTAATTCAGTTCAGTTATACATACAGTCAGTGTCGTCAGTCGGTAACGCGTGTGAATAGTGTCTGTTGCGTGGCTCAAACGAAATAAAAAATGGCACATGTTTATGCGGATCGGTTTCCCAATCGAGTGCAACCAACCCCTCGTGCCTTTGTTAATGTAGTACAACGGGCTCGTGAGTCAGGTGACTTAAGACCTCACAGGGGACCTCACGATCAAATACAGGTCCGCACTGAAATACTTGTCGGGAGGATACTTTATAAAACAAGGTAAAAATTTTTTTTTAATTTTTTTTTATTTTTACATACATATTTTGGTTTATCTTCCTTCTACAATCATTATCTGAAAATTAATGACTCAACTTCAAAGTCACCCTGTATATATATGTATATACAGTCAACAATTTTCAGATAATGATTGTAGAAGGAAGATAAACCAAAATATGTGTGTAAAAATAAAATAAAGATAAAAAAAATTTTTACCTTGTTTTATAAATTATCCTCCCGACAAGTATTTCAGTGCGGAGCTGTATTTGATCGTGAGGTCTTGGAGCACCGGCATGCCGTCCATATGTGAGGTCTTAAGTCACCTGATTCACGAACCCGTTGTACTACATTAACAAAGGCACGAGGGGTTGGTTGCACTCGATTGGGAAACCGATCCGCATAAACATGTGCCATTTTTTATTTCGTTTGAGCCACGCAACAGACACCACTATTCACTACCGACTGACACTGACTGTATACAACTGAATGAAATAATTGTAAAAACATCGTTCCAAATTCTTTCGCTTTTTTGTTTCCGATGCGATGAACCGATAAGGCGGATTATATCCGTTGTCGCCAAACACGAGCACATAATATTATTATTGAGACAGGGCGGTACTCAAACTTCCAAAGGGCTATAACTTTGTTACTTTAATTTTACCAGAAAAATGGTAAAGGAAAAAAACATTTCTTTTGATCAGATCTACTCACTGTTAAAATAAATGACTCAACTTCGAAGTATAGTGCACGTTCGATTCGTGACCAACGGTTATGCCCATTATAGGCGACGTAGTTTCAGTTTGTTTTGTGGTTATGACACTGAATAGAGACAGTTTGTACTGGTTTACGAAGGGTCTGTTGTGGTCGTAGCATTTGCTTTATTGTTAGCAGCTTCGCATGACGCACCTAAAATTCAAGAGTTCTATAGAATTGCAGCGCTCACTGGCACGTCGAGCAAGCAAGACAATGACGCTTGTAACCTCCTTTAGGACGATTGATATGTTTAGATGTTTAGGTTATATAGTTCCAAGAAAAATGGGATTGAAAATTATGATGCAGAGTAAAATGAAAAATTAATTCAACCGGTCAAAGAGTATTAAATCACAATGTTAGGATTGCATACTGAAATTTATACGCTGACACGTCGTATGGGTTTGTGCTCTTTGGAGATGCAATTTTGTAGTTGAAATGGCCTGAGCCTAGAGTGATGGAAATCTTAATTTCAAAAAAATCTATTGGTTTTCTTTTTTTACTAGCCAGCATTCTGATCTACATATTTTTTGTATACAACTCTTGTGTAGTTTCTAACTTCCCAAAAGCCATTCCAAAAGTAAGTATATTAAAAGTATTATGAAAGGCTAATTATATGATTAACTAGCCTAGCAACCAGAGTGACAAAATCACGGACGCAGCTGCGGCTTGCTATCGGCGCACTCTTTCAAACATACAAATTGCTCGATTCTCTCTCTCTTGTACACATTAGGATATCACCGTATATCTAACACTGTATGTATAATATTCTACTTAGTCTACATTTTACTTTTTTCCCAGTGGCGAGCACATCCTGTCATTGCACAAGAAATTCCTTTGATTCACTACTCAAGCTCAGTTAGAGTAGTTTCATTATTGGAAGGCAATGAAACGGATATATCTCCAAAGTATAGATTCTTGAAAGAGCAAGGACTGAGACCAGAAAAGCAGTTACCTAGTGCTTTAATAATTGGTAAGTTACTGGCATAGTTTCCGTTTTTTGCATTGCAAAAATTGGGGTTGTCTAATTTGTATCTAATATACAGGTTTATAAATCCCTGAAAGATGCACAGAGTACTACTTTTTCCAAAAAGGAAAGTTTCAGAAAGTCAGATTCACATACAATACAGGGTACTCAGAGGAGTAGTCAGACAGATACTTGGTAGAGTGATTACCATAGATTAATTCAGCTCCTGTTAGTTATATTTAGTCTATATTTGCATTTTTAAAAGGTGATATATATATATATATATATATATATCCTCAGAATTGATTTACTTATCAAAGAAATTAGAGCACCACAATTGAGTGAAGCAATCATACCAGGAAGAGTGTATTTATGGTGTTTCCAGGAGATTTATTTTTTGTAAATATTTGAGAGTGTTGCCATTAGGTCTATGTTTTTCTCTGTCAGTACCTACAATGTTCAGATAAAATTAAAATCATTTGTTGACATTACATTTTTGGAACATTTGTTCTTGGTACACTTTCCAGTCCTTCTTATTACAAAAGACATAAATTTGTAACACATTCAAACATCTTAAACCTACATTTTTGTTAACGGTAGGCAATATAGGGCTCCAAGCTGCTCAAATTTCATGAAAAAGTGTCTGCCATGCATGGTTATCACAAATTTAAATTTAAGTTTCAGCACTGCTTTTGGAAGGTTACAAAACAACACTAATTAAAACTACTGTCAAATTTGGGAAGGACTAAACCTAAAATATCAATATGTATGACTAAAAGTTTATATAGCAGATGTGTGGGATTGACAATAATGTCTTTTTGGCAATCAGGCTTTAATAAGTACCATAGCACCACCTCAGCCCTGTTAGATCTTTGTGATAATCTTATTAGAGCACTGGACAAAAAATAAAAAATTGGCCGCAGTTATATCAATTGATTATTCCAAACCATTTGATCAAACTAACCATAAACTTTTATGCACCAAGTTGAGAAATATAGGCTTGGATTATACTGCAGTAGGTTTTTTCGCTGCTACTTGTCACGTCGCACGCAATGTGTCGCTATTAACATTCAATTCAATATCGCGACAATCCCTTCTGGACTTCCTCAAGGCTTCTATTGTGTGCCCTGTGCTTTTTTAATATACACATTTCACTTGCATAAAACTGTCCAGAATTCAGAAATACAAGCATGTGCAGATGACAAACAATTTATCATATTGACGCCTTACATCCATCCATTTTGTTACAACTTGATTTAGAACAGGTGCATCAATTTTCTGTGAATCACAATCTTGCTGTTAATTCTGATAAAACACAAGTGTTATCATTTTGTTCTGATCAGAAGAGCAAAAGCGTTGAAGAACAGTTTCATTTAACTATTGATGGCATAATTTTACACCACACTCAAATAGACAGCAAATTGAGATTCCATAGTCATATAGCTAGTTTGATGAAAAAAAAGTATTTTGCTCCAACTGGTACTTGCTCGACTTTAAGCTAAAGAAAAAACTGGGAGAATTTTTAGTGACGTCACTACTCAGTTACTTTGATGTTGTTTATTATTCGTGTTTGGATCAGTTTACGACAAATCATACAAAATAACTGCGTTCGTTTTTATTTTTGGCCTTCGAAAATATGATCACGTAAGTGACAAATATAAGGAATTGAACTGGCCTAGGTAAGGCACTGTAGTTAAGTATAAGTATAGTTTTAGTTCACAAAGAATATTTTAAAACCCATGACTTTCAAGTTTTTGTAAATATACTAAAAGCATGCGGCCCGTAATTACTATTATCATATATCCTTATTGTCATAATCATATCATTATCGTTATTATGAATTATGGAGAAAATATCCAATTGTGGTATTTGAGTTGGGATAGGAAGTAGTTTTATTATATGTTGCAATAAGGATTTATCAAACTATTTGCTACTAGATAAATCAGAAACATTTAACTAATATCAGTATAACAATTATAGGTGTCAAAAAGGGTGGCACCAGAGCCCTCTTGGAATTCATACGAGTACATCCAGATGTTAGGGCGGCAGGCAGTGAGGTGCATTTCTTTGACAGGAATTATGCCAAGGGTTTTAGATGGTATAGGGAAAGAATGCCTGCTACACTTGAAGGGCAATTGACCATTGAAAAGACACCATCATATTTCATCACTAAAGAAGCCCCTAGAAGGGTTGGTATCATATAATCTATGTATCCTGCTGCGAATCATTGTTCTCATAAGCACTGGCATATCCAGAAGAGACTTCCGGAGTGGGCTCAGCAGTATGATAATGAACCCATTTATACTCATTTATTTTTCTGAAATGCTCATTTTTCTCATTATTTATTATATATTTAAATGCTCATGTCCAATAAATCGAACAATCTTTATTACTCATTAGGCTGTGGAGTTCTGGGGGAGAGCTTCAGCGCCAGAGCCTTCTCACTGTAACGTCCCTGTTCATTAGAAACAAAACATTTTAACTAAAAAGCATGACTGTGCTTAAGGGTAGTATCGTCAGTCGTTCCTACAATAATTGTAAGGTGCCTTTATGGTTTTCTTGATTTTGATAGTATTTTTTTCTCAGACGGACTACGGTATTTCTAGATTTGTCAGCGTTAGCGATCTCCTATTGTGAGGCTATGTTTTCTTTTTGAATTGTAGGAATGTTCAGGCTGATATAACATAACATAAATCAAAAACCCGAACAACTTATACCCTATTGTGTGAGATTTTTGTGTTAGTTGTGCAACGTTGGCAATAATTAATCGGGTTTAAATCTAGTAAAACTGGTTTGCTGTTTGCAAATACAAAATGAATCTGTAGCGTAAAAAAACCAAAACAAAGTACTGCTGTCTATATATAATATTTCAAAATTCCCCATATCGGCAAAAGACACAATTCTGACGGATCCGTCAATGCCAGGTGGACAGACCCATATTTTGTTTTGTTTTTTTTGTATGCTACAGATCCATTTTGTATTTGCTAAAAGCTCTTTTATTTAGAAAAGTTCATTTGCATACAAATAACAAAACGCTACAAATTTTTTCTATACACCCGATTTATTATAGCTAACGTTGCAGACTAACACAAAAATATCACTTGCTGATCAGCTGTTCACCTCAGCAGACGTCAAAGCGTGACAGGGAACAGCAGAAAACTATGAAAATCAAGGAGTCATAAAGGCGTCCTATGATTATAGGGACGACTGTCGATACGGCCCTTAATGATGTAACTTTAAGGCCCGTATCGTCAGTCGTCCCTACAATTGTAGGGCGCCTTTATGGCCTCCTTGATTGTCATAGTTTTCTACTTCTCCATGTCAGAAGTCTATTTTGAGGTTAGGTCACAAACATCTATTTGCATCAAATTGTGCTTGGTTTTGAGTTATATCATGTTTTATCAGCCTGAAATTTCCTACAATTTAAAAGGAAAACAAATCTTCACAATAGGAGAGCGCTGACGCTGACACGGGACAAGTGTAATCTAGAAATTTTTGAAGGAGATAGAAGTATGACAATCAAGGAGGCCATAAACGCGCTCTACAATTGTAGGGTCGACTAACGATACGGGCCTTAGTTACTGACGTTCCACCAAATAATTATACTTCAAGGACATATGATTTCGCCAAAAACTTAGCCTAAGTATCAGGTAGATCCACTGTATTAGATATACTGAGAGGCTAATGAAACGATTTCCCTCTCGGCAGAACGCACCCATGAAAAAAAATCCTCAACTTGCAATAGTATCCAGCGCACTAAAGCTAGCCATACATGCTAGGTTATAACTGACAGGTTTGCTGAATAGTAACACTCGCTAGGTATGCTTCAACATTGTATTTTACTGTAATGGTGCTTACTTGTACTGTTCAGACAAATCTGCCAGGAATACCCTCAGCGTATGTTGCGGACGCTAAAGCCGGCCATGCACGTAAAATAATGGGATGCAGTTGGATGCTTTTGGTATTAGGAGTACATTACTATTCTATGTCAGGAGGAAAATCCTTTTCGATGCTCGCTCCCTGATCTGTACCAGGCCTTATTTAAGTAGTTCTATTTAAATTGGAAAGTATTCATTTTTTTAGTAATGAGGTCAAAAATCTCTATTCTTAATATGATTCAAGATACATACAAAAATCACAGCCTCAATATCATACAAGGGCATTCTTTTATCCAATATGTTTTTTTATGAAATCATATATGGTAAGGATATATGTTATTTTTTCTCACACAGAAATACCTCTTCATAAGTTTCATATACTTATTAACCATCCCGAACGAATTATGGTAAATGACGGTATTTTGAGAACAAGATTGATTAAATTTTCAGAATGTTTGGATTTTTCAGGTACAGTTGATGAATCCCTCCACCAAACTGTTAGTAGTAGTAAGAGACCCAGTAACAAGGGCTATTTCAGACTACACACAAGCAATATCGAAAAAACCGGAGATGAAACCATTCGAACAACTCGTGTTTGTTAATGGTTCCATCGGTAGCATTATAGATACTTCATGGGGTCCTATCAAGCTTGGCATATATTCCAGGTATGGAACATTTATCCTATTGACATAGCATCTCTACCATAGTTCTTTGGTCACGGTAGTCGGGACGATATTTTTACAGTAATATGTCAAAGTGCTGTGCATTTATGTTTTGCACAACTTAACCGGGTTTTTCTGGAAATATTCATGTATACTATTGCAAATAAAACAGGTGTATTGTGCCCGTGTGACACGATGAAGGCGAAGGTGTAGATACAAAGAACATATCAGGAATACTTGATCAGATTTTAGTATATTGTGAACACACGATGCAGTACCGAACTAAGACTTTCGTAATTGCTGAATAACTACTGATATACTGGTATACATGGTATAAACCTTTAAGCGAGACCTATGTCAATGTGTTAAAAATAAAATTCCACGACTTGGCTTGGCTGATTGTATCTCAAATCGGGCTCAATTTTTCAAAAATTTAGAGGTTCTAAGTCGAACGATCTGGTCTGGAGACGCGCTCAATTTCAGTTCAGTCTGAAGGTGCCCAAAAAAATGTGGATTTGATCGTTTTGTTAACTTTTCTCTTTTCTCGTTACTAATGTCGCTGGGAAACATTGGGTCTCAAAATATATAACTATCTTGAAGTATAGTTGTCCAAGGAACCCAAAAATGATCTCCAATTTGAGATTTGATAATTTGTGTGGCAGATGTTTCAGTTAAAATTTTTTCGAAATTTTCCATTGCTTTTATTGGGTTGACAGTTCGAATGCCTCCCGAAACAAAAAAATTACTTATTGCTTAATTTTATTGTGGCTACCACAGCTTTTGAGAGATATTTGCAGAAAACAATAGTTGATTGTACCTTGTGACAATGAAAATTGGAAACACGCTGTATTTTTTTGGCAAATAAAGATATTGCTCCAAGATTGGGGCATGTTTAGTTAGTAATTAATAAGATGCATTTCTGGAAAGTTGAATGGGCTATCTCTCCCTTCCGCTACTAATAACTTGCCAATTTCTTGTAAAACTCATAGTAAAAAATACTGTAGGTACGTTTTATGGAATAAGAAAATAAATTTAAGTAAAACGGCGGCGATTGGTAGATTCTATGAAATAGTTGTAATTTTAATTTGTTACTAAACCGATAGCGTGCAGAACATAATTGGAAATGCATTTTCATTTAGAGCAAATAACAACAAAAGTAATACTAGTTAAACATCATTGAACAGAGAACTTTATGTAGAATAAGATTTCTGGAAAAGGTATACAGGATCCTATTTAAAATCTATCAAAAATTATGTGTTGGAAGATGTGGATTCCTGATTTTGTTTTCAAATAAGTAAACTAACATGAAAAACGCATAATTACAAGCTTTCATTCATTTAGCCCGTTTTAATAGAAATTTGTTCAACACGCCACCTTAACAGTTTAAAATATTTTTGTCTCGTAAGCAATATGGCGGATTTCAGGTTATTCACAAATTTCTTTACAGCGATATTTTAAAACTAAAATGTCACTTGTAACACATAGTTGGAAAGGGAATTTTGCATAGAGTACATGTGAAAAACGAAAGTCAAGATCACTTCCGGCTAAACCGGAAAGGAGAGATAACCCATTCAACTTTTCAGAAGTGCTTCTTAACGACTAACTAAATATGTCCCAATCTTTGAGCGATATCTTTATTTGCAAAAAAAATACAGCGTGTTTCCAATGTTCATTGTCACCCGGTATAGTGTGCCCAAAATGAGGAACACACGATCTCATGTGGTTATAGCGAAAATGCTGTTTAAGTGAGGGAAAAAGTTGCGTAATTTAAGCACCTTATTTTGAGGTATTTGCAAAAATATACCTGAAAATTGAAGAATCGTACGTTTCTCCCAATTAACTCAAAATCAGATGAAGGCTGCCAAATTCTGTAAACTACGTGTGGAGGGTATTTATATTAACACAACTTTTGCCTAATTTAGCCAACATTGTAGCTTTATTTGTTTTAAGATTGTAAACACTGTATACTGAAATATTAGCTTTTTGTGAATAACTCTTTAGAGCTGAAGTAGTTAATGGACGTTGAGCAATGTATTGATCTATTGGTAAGATAGCCAGCCTCTGTAATTTGCCCAATCTTCAATAACATTGATATTCTTCTAACATGGTCAAATGGTAAATTTTGGGTCCAGATACCAAAAGTTTCCTCTGATGGCATATTCTACATACTTAGAGATCTACGAACAACATTCAACTCGTATAGAGCAATAATGACAGGAGTAGCGAAAATTTCAAAAAAAATGTCTCTTGACTGAAAAATCTGCCCATTCAATTATCAGATCACAAATCAGAGATCATTTTCGTGTTCCAGGGACAATTTTACTTCGAAATAGTCTTCCCAGGGCGGGAGTAACGAGAAAAGTTAACAAAATCCAACACACAATCACATTTTTACCGAACGTTCCAAGCTTAAGCGCGTCTCCAGACTGAACCGTTTGGCCTACGACCCTGAAAAGTTACAAATCTTCATGCCTCCATAGGTACCCACCAGGAAAAAAATAAGCCCGACCTGGAATATGACTCGCCAAGCCACGTCGTGAAATTTTAATTTTGACCCAATATGATACAAATGTGTTGTTAGCCTTGGCTCCTTCCCCTAATGCTGTTATATATAGCCAAAAGAGCTTCTAATAACGCCTCGGTAGATACTATTGTGATGACTGATCCACATAATAAAGTAGAGGGGTAGCACAAAATACACTTTTTGCAATGTAAATAGTATTTTTGGATGTTCTACAAAACTAATTTCTAGGTACCTCTCCCGCTGGCTCAAGTTCTTCCCTCTATCCCAGTTACTGTTTGTAAGTGGAGAACGTCTCGTCGTTGATCCTGCTATTGAGTTGAAACGCGTCCAGGACTTTCTTGGATTAAAAAGAGTTGTTACTGAAAAGCACTTTTATTTTAACACTACGAAAGGCTTTCCATGTTTGTTCAAGAGTGAAGGGAACTCTGCACCACACTGTTTGGGTACGACTTTATATAAAAGGCTTTCTGTGATTTGATGTTATAATTTATGATTCTATATACAAATTTTCATTCATACAAGGATTTGCTATAAAAGGAAAATCGGATACCTTGCTTATAATCTTTTTTGGTATAATATAAAAATATTTCATTTCGGAGGCTAAAAATTTTATATTAACGGCTAATTTAAGTAGCTCCTAGTCTGCGTCTCTTTTTTGCTCTCAGATATCTCACATTTTTAGGTAAAACCAAGGGAAGAAATCATCCATATGTTAACCCTGCCGTTCTCCAAAGGTTGCGAGACTTCTATAGACCATTCAACAACCATTTCTATCAAATGACAGGGATACATTTTGGTTGGACATAGTATATCTTGTTTTCTTTTTTTTAACTTTTGGCAGATGATACCTATGCATGTTTTTAACATATCAGACTTAGGGACATTTTATACAAGTTTTACTATTTCTAAATGGAAGAATTGTAGTCAAGAGATTTTAATACCAAAGAGTTGCTCAAAGATATATAGTAAGTATCTCTAAAGACTAGTCTTTCTTATCAGTTTTTCAGAAAAATCTTATGAGAGGTGCTGCATTGTCATTGTCGCGAATTTTTGTATGTTATTACGTATTACATGATACTCGTATTTAAATACTCATTTTCTAGCAGAATGCTATAACGTAAAGTGGTCCTACTTTGCTCCAAATTTAGGATACTCGGAATATTTATTAAATTTTGATTTACTAGATATAACCACTACCATCGTTAACTAATGCATTCTATAATATGTCAGAGGTACTACATTATATGAGGAGCATACTTTCTAATCGCTCACTGTCCATTTTGGACTTTTTACAGGAAAGCTGAAAAACTGCTGTGAGCTTTTTGCTAACTTTTGGAAAACGACTAACACATCAAAAAACGTATTTTAATATCAACAGTTTGCTATAGTAACAAGGCTAAGCAAATATTAATAGTTTACTAAAAAAAATTCTAATTCTTTGAATGACCACAATGGAAAAAAGTCAGTTCTTTTGTCCATAAATGAATACCAAATGATTTTGAACTTAAAATTCTAAGGCGAACAGTTCTCTTTGAATTATATTACATGTAAGTCGTCTTTCGCCAGGCAGCAACATTCTTTGTCATCTTCACTGTGGTTACAGCTCTGCTCCTTACTTTCGTTGTGACCATGTTCCCTACACCGATCTTTTATAATTGGGTCAAGCCAGGTTAGCTCTGGATCTCTTACCCAGTCTTGGCCTGATAAACTCACTTAAAATGCAGATAAACTATCCAGTTTTCTTCTGGAGAGCATGCTTGAATGGTAATTCGGACAATACTATACCACTTAGTTTTCGATTCAAGTAAACTCGCAAATTTCTTTGAGGATCATCATTTCTGTATAAAAGTTCGCTCTCATACAAGATTTTATCTTGACCACACTTTTCATGATTATTCTTTTGGCCTCGGAAATTCCTGCAATTCTTTCAAGTGAACGTCGCATTTTTAATATTGTGAAGGGTCCAACCAGAGCCAAGTTTTCAGACATGTCTCCTTTTCGAGTGAATTTCATAATATTTTTCTGGCATCTTTATAAAAGCATGAGGCCGCAATTCGAGTTCAACTCGATCAGCAGGCATAAATGAGTGGCCACGAACGGGAAGTCTCATTGTAATTGTTTCAATAGATGCTGCAGCATCATTAAGCAGCCACATCAGTGCGTGCACCATTTGAGGAGGTGATCTGCAAACTGCAGTCTTTGAAATTTCAACGTTTTGAGATAAAGACGTTTTTTTAAGGTGCGTAAATGGAGAAGTAGAATGCTAAGCCAAACAAACCACCTCAAATTTCAGAGACAACGAAATGGCTACACTAACCTGCTGAAATCTGGTCCTTATCGTTTGCTGACTAACACAAAAAAAACAAACAAAAAACCGCATTTTGATTTTCCACATCTATTAAAACTGCGTCTTGAAAAATCAATCTATTCATATGAAACATAAATGAAACGGAAAGTTATATAATTATATTTTCAAGCCAATGTCTTCCTCAGCACAATCACACAACTCTGGATCTACATCGTCGGATTCCGGGCATGTTTCTTCCTCGTCTCCTGTTGGATGTCTTCTTTCATTTAGTAGGTTCTTGTACCAAGCGAAGGTTTCATTATCTTCCCAGTCTTCTCGATACTTTTTTAATAGGGTTTCAACGTTTTCAAGCTTAATTTTTTTAATGCTATTGCGCAGTTCAATTTGCTTAGGTTGGTAATTTTCTAATTCCGCACCTTGTTTCAAGTAGTTCTGATACTTTGTATCGTTGTCTGTTCTGTAGAAGACTTATAATTTTGTCAAACACTTTTCACGAACCCTTTTCAAATGAACTCGCTTTACTTCTTGTATACCACTGATTTTCTTGAATTTTGTACTAGAAAAATCCTTCCAATCCAACAAGTCCCAATCTTGTCCCATCACTTTAACATTCCCAACTTCTCCAAAGATATTCCAGTATTCTTCCTTAGTGGTAATTTTAGACCGCTTTCTGCAGATCTTCTCTATCCGACCGAATACTCTGTCTGCAGGTAGATAAGAATGACCTCTCACCGGAAAATACAGGACCACCTCTTCAATATGTTTAGGTGCCTTAGTGGAAAGCCAAAACATCAACATGTGGATGATAAAAGAATTTTTATTTTGTCCTCCGCATCCATCGGCGAAGAGTCTAACTAATTTACAACTCTCTGGAAACTCGCGATTTGTCAAGAAATGGTATATGGCTGATCCTATCTCATTCGGTCCCCTTTTCGCTTGATTCTCTGTCCAAGTATAACAGTAAGGATGTCTTGTACTAGGTTCTGTTATGCAAAAGTTGTATAGAGCAAGTTGACGTAAATAAAATGCTTCCCCTATGTTCATTTTAGGCAACGCTTGGACTTGCTGCAAGTCAAAGCATACTGTGAAGCTGTTCTCCGGAATTGCTTTCAAAAAAAGGTGGAATTGTTTAGCTCTCAATTTATGAATTCTCAGCTCAGTAATAGATTTTCCTTTCATAGCTGCATTCTTTGTGGATCTAATTGTATTTTTCAGACCGATACATAGACTACATACATCTTTTGCGGGATTCCCAAAGCCGAGATTGAAATAGCGTACAAAAATATTATAAAAATAACGACGCGAGACTTTTAAATTCAGCTCTACAGAGTTATTATAAAGTTTTGATAGTTTCGCAATATTCAAGTCAGATGAAAGATAAAGTCTCTTCGATTTCTTACGATTGTAATGACGTTCACTTGCATGTAAATTCCCAATGAATTTTTTAACACTGTTTTTTGCTTCTCCGATCACCTCCCCTTCTCTCAATTATCTGCCCTTCTGCCTTCTTTTTTTCGATAGTAAGGATATTCCGTTGTGAGATCTTCAAAGCAGCCAAAAACGTCTTTTGACACACTAACAGCCTCTCAGAGTTAATATTTGTTAAAAAAATAATCCAGAATAACTGCTTGGCCTTTATTTGTCAATGTTTCTTCACTTTTTTTCCTTTTAGGATGCTTAACTTCAATCAAGTATCTATTATCGTTTTTACTGGTTGTCTATACACAAACTCTCTAACACGTTTTACATCCTCTGTAGAAACTTCATGACACTGGAGTGCAGTTTTTAAATGCTTCAAAATCTTCAGCATTAGGCATATGATTCATGTATCTAAAACAATAAAAAATATAAAACAACTCCGCTCACTTGCTTTTATATTCAACCTTACCGCATTTTTTTGCCATTTCTCGTTTAGACATAGTTCGTTTTCTTGTTCTCGAACCATCAGATGCGTCACTAACTAGCACTAGACTACTATCATCCATTTTTAATTTCGAAATATTGCGTAATTTAGCAGCAACAGATCGCAAAAGTATAACACGCACACATCGTAACTGCCGGTAAACAACTGAACTATTCACAGCCGGTCTGAATATCAAAGAAATACTGCGTTTTGTCGTGCATGTGTAATTTTGATCAGCAAGTTAAGATTTGAAAAGTTGCGCTATGATTTTCCAAGCATGGAGTAATAAATTGCGTTTTGTTATTCCTAGTTGAAACAAAATACTGCGCTTTGTAGAACACTACAATAATTCACTAGCTATTACAAAGGGAAAAACTGCAGTTTGACGTTTTTAATTAGGTTTATCGGGTAGAGGACCATTGAAAATATACGATCACATGCCTAACCCAGAATTGCCATTTTTTCAAAAACTGCGGTTTGCAGATCACCTCCTCATTTATGTGAATTTTTGTTTTGACCCCCACATCCATCTGAAAATAATCTTAATGTTTAACATTCGGATCAAAATCAGTATTTTTTAGGATGTCACCTAAAGCGAAACTTTTTGCGCTATCACTACTTAACACGTTCAGTGCGAACAGCGTCAAAAGACGCCCTCCGCTCCTGTGGTGGGAGGCGAACGGCGTCTTTCGACGCTCTCTGCCGCCTTCCAAAAAAGTATTTCAGTTTCTGAGGTGGGTATCCTCATCCCAGTTCGCAGTCAATGTGTTAACAGCACTCTCCTTTGACAGCTAATACCATTGCACTGCAGTTGGCATTGACAGACAGACATTGACATTGTCCGTTATATTGTTATTTGATTGTCTCTTGCCATCGGACAAAGTGACTTTATTTTGTCTAGGATATTACTAAGTCAAATATCTACTGAAAATAGTGCGATTAGAGTGTCTTTTAGTTTCGAATCTCATAGTAAGCAGTGTCATGAATCGAACGCCACCTTTACTCAAAAATGTGGACAATGTGCGATTAGAAAGTCTGCTCTTCATATATATGACGGGGTACACAACAAAAACAGGAATTATTTTTTAAAAGCTATCTATTTTCAACTTTTGCACAAAGTAACCTTATCTCCTTCAAAATACTTTCCACAACAACTAGTACACTTTTCCCACCGGTGATTCCACTGCTTGAAGTATTTTTTGAAGTCTTCGTTAGAAATGTCTGACAGCTTCTCCCTTATTTTTTTCTTAACCTCTTCAATGACGTCAAAGCGGCGTCCTTTCGTGCCCCTGTGACGACGAACACTGTTTCGCAATTGTCTTAACACCTCCCAAATAGCACAATCTCTCGAATTTTTTTAACATTTTCGTCGATTCGGGCAGTTGATGGACGTCCAGATCGAGGTTTGTTATCGATCAACATGTCGCCATTTTTAAATCGAGCAAACCACTCGTATACCTGAGTTTTTTCCATAGCATCATCTTTGTAAGCTATTTTCAACATTAAAACAGTTTCAGCAGCATTTTTACCAATTAGCAAAATCTCACAGCTGCACGTTGCTCACTGAAGCTTGTCATCGTAAAAACCGAAACAAGCACGAAACAGCTATGGCAAAAATAATGACTACAGAGGAACGAAACAAGCCAGATCGACAACTGAGGTGGCACTGAACTGGTAATGAGTTGCGCTGTACGCCTCTAGGGGCAGAAATGTGTACTTCACAAGCTCCGCCCATTGCAATGCTATTCCGGTTATTTTTGAGCACCTCCTCGTGTATATAGAACCATTCTTAAGGCGCAGTCTTAACCATTGCCATAGGTATCTTTGCTCCTGGTTGTTTGATTCAGTTCAGGAACTAGATAAATTTCGTGCCTACTGCTAACTTTTCGAGGTGGACCAATGCACCCCAAGATTTCTGTCCAATCATATTGGTTTCATCTGGGGTTAGGATTTCAAACACTTCATAAAAGACAAATATGGCCCTTGTACAGTTATTTTTGTAATCTTGCCGGGATATATCTTCAATATCTTCACGTTCTTCAGGATGTGAACAGTCGTGGGTTGAGGTGTGGACACTTTCTGCGTTCGTGCTCTACTAGCTCTACGTCGATGTGGTGGTTTCGACATTGAAGGCTGTGGCAGCTCTCTATTTTCATTTTCGCCTGAAGACATACTCAATTGTACGCTTATACTTTTGCCAGCAACGATGTTCAGTTTTTTACGTCTTTTTATGCTTCCACCCTTGGTCCATTCTAGCCTTTTAGCTTCGAGACTCTCTAAAAAGGAGTCTTGCAATGCAGTTTTGTCGATAGTTCTAGGCAACCTCTCTAGCAATGGATAATCGTCAAACGAATAAATTCCACACTTTCTGGAACCTGAACGAAGGTTTTCCTCTCGCGTTGGTTCTAATACATCTACTAGTCTGTTTAACAAAATCGGAAAACCGCTTTTTCTCGAATGCCTTGTACACTTGCGTTCCACTCGGTAAGAATTTTTCTCCAAGCTACCTTCATGGAATGAAAAAAGGCAACATCCAACGGCTGAGTTAAATGAGTGCTGTGAGGTGGCAAGCAAACAAATCTGATATCCTATAATAAGTCTTGTTTGTTTAGTCTTGGTAGGTTTTGAGTGAAAAGCCAGTCGTTAAATATGTTCATATCAAACCATGACACGTGCCAAAATCACGTAAACTTTTTTTACTATTTTGATCACTTACAAGTAATTTGAATTTCTCTATTAATGGTAGAGCGCCCATTCCTAGGCTAAAGCCTTTTCAATTATTTTCTTTTGGTAAATTTCATAGTTTATTGATCGTATAACTTCACTCGTATTATATCTTTCTTTCTCAGTGATTCACTATTGTGCTAAAAAAAACTCTGTTTTTCCTCCGTTATTTGGTTTCCTATAGAACATTTCTTCAACGTCACTCATTGAACCTTCTTTAAAAAGGTAAGTTTTTC